CAGACCCTTGAAAACATCTGACAAGAGAAGAAAGTTTACCTGATAAGAGAGTTGTTTGTCTGGCAAGAGCTACCCGTCATCACATGTTAAAAGGACACTCCCAGCTAACCTGAGAATAAAGGATAACCTCTCTTATCATCCATATCCCCAGAGTTCGACTGCATTGTCACAATAATGAAGAACTAAACCTTTCATGACAGCAGAAGGAATTGTAACCAAGGTTTTTATGCTTGCAGTTACTTTCAATAATAATAATAAATAATAAATTCATGGCATCTGAATATTAGGTTTTTGCTTCCTTTTCCGTTTTTTGGAAGCAGCGAATGAGTATCAGAGTCAGCTGCTATGATGACAATTTAAGCCTTTAAATTCCAGTATATCAATGCTACGTGTAGTTTGACATATTCACAGTATCAACAAAAAAGCAGAGAAAAACATATTCAATAGAACTATAATGATTCTTTTCGTGCAGAGACCGGACCGCACGCACACATACAGCCTACAGTCATGCCCTGGTCTCTCAAATTAATTTTCTTGAATATTTCCTGCTGCCTTTTCACATGGGCTCACCCTGACTTCATTCTTTATACATTTGTGTTCACTGTACAGCTCACCCTGAAAATTTCAGGAAGCTCTCAGGAGTTTTGTGCATTTGTGTAGGCACCGTGTTACACTCGAGTCGGGTGTTGACAAATCAGTTGATCGGGGTTGCAATGCCACTCTCTGAAAGTTGTTGAATGGATTACATTTGTTGTAAGTGTTAGTTGCTTTGGTTTGGTGAAAGACTAGATAGGCATGAACTAAGTTCAGTCCATTCACCATTTACTTTGCATGTAAAACAGCTTTTGGTTGTATTGTACCATAGAGGATTTTTTTTCTTGACTTTTCATTGTGAAGTAAATGTAATGTGCACAAAGCAATGGCATTATTATTGGATCTCTATAGGCCGTGTTTTAAGTATTTAGTTCTGTCTGCCACTGGGTACCATGAAAATAAATGCTTGTATTAAAAAAACAAAAAGAGGTGCATTAAAGGAATGGTAGACGTTTGAAGAACAGGGGGACACTTCGGAAACACTTCCAGCTAAAAGAAAAGAGAAAGGGGAAAATAAGCGCAAACTTAGAATAGGCATTAATTCAGGGCACTTGCACTTGAGAGGGGACCAAACGGACATTTAGTTGGCTTCTTTCTTCAATCAATCAATAAATTAAACTTTATTTTCTCACAAGTTAATGTAACACAAAGTGCTTCACACAAAAGTGTCCATCATCCATAATTGTATGTCTTCAATGCAGCTAAATGGGACATCTTTATTTGACCTAAGTCACCTCGGAGACACCCCAACATAGAGCTGTATGTCATCAGCATAACCATGTTAAATGGATTCCATGTCTATTGAGTGGTAGCATGTAAAGGCTAAACAACAACAACATCCATTTTCAAAATTTTAGAGACAAATTCATCTACGCTTAACAAAAATGTTCCATTGGTAAAATAAAAATACCAGAAGGGACAGTCAAACTTTAAAGTCAGCCAAAGAAGATTGAGTGATTTTCTTTATCAAAGGCTGTTCTTAAGGTCAGAATGATCAAAGATACAAACTAGATCGCCATGTAACAAACATGTCCTCTTGTTGATACTACTGGTATTTACTGTCTTTATCCTTGCATTGAGATCAGTGTTTGAGTTAGAAAGAAAGCTGGAAATAAATCCACTATGTCTCGTGTTGTTGTTGGTTATTAGCCTTTGATGAAAACAAAAAATTATCTGGATTTCTTTTCACAAGGGATGATAAACATCATCATAATAATAATAATAATAAAAGAGAAGTCTTCGCATCCTTTGGTTGAATTTACTAGAAACAATTTGTCCACCCAGGAAATTAAATCTAAATTGCTCCCTTACTAGTCTGCATCAGATAGTTAAGTTGATTTATTTCTTGGTCTTTATCAACAATCAATCCAAGCTTAATAAAGAAAAGTTAAACCCCTGTGGTTTAATTTTGTTATAATTATACCCATAAAGAACGAGGGTAAGCCCATCACATCCTGATTGAATCTGTGAGTTGATTTGTTTGTTTATTGAGCCCCGAACACATCCATTAACTCAAATGAAAATGCTTCCTGAAACTGATCAGTCAGGAATCTGTCAGTGTGTTGGCTTTTGTTCAACATAGAAAAAAAAGTATCAGACATCTGTGTTGTCAGAAGTGGGGCATCCTCTCATCAGTCAGCAGACAGTGAACTTTCACCCTCACAGGGCTCTCATTGCACAGGGTGATGTTTGTTGGCCTGGTGTTTTTGATTCTTAAGTGAAATCTGTAGCTGACTCCATGCATTATTTTGCACCTAAATATATTTTAATTACAACTACTACATCGAAGAGCAATGGCAGCCTAAATTAAAAAAAAAACGTGTTAAATCTCATACAAAATGTGTATTTTGTTTGTGCACCAAGGTTTCCTTCATTAATGTGTGTTCAGTCTGTTACGATGATAAGCTATGGAGGAAGCAACCGTATTCAGTGAATTTAATAATAGTATTGGACACTGGTGCATAATTTAGTCAGGTCTAATGAAGAGTTCTAGCAAACAGGCTGCTGTATAATGACACTGCAGAGAGAGCAACAACACAGATTAGTGTTACATTCTTTGTAGCAACACTCAGGTGAAAAGGTTGCCTGTGCTGATTATTAAAGGACTGTGCTAACTTCAACTACAGCAACACTTGTCTTTGCACATTACGAGGCCTCTAAAATATGCTCATAATTCTGAACTTCTCATTTCCAGTTTCACTAATTAAGTGCAGAGGCAGGAAATAGATCATTACAGTACTTGTGAGATCTGTGGCCTTTAAGGCATTACAAATTGCACCACACCCCTTTACTGTAAATCCACCAAGTGAGGTCATAGGATGAGTCAATACCATTCCTCTTATACACCCATACAAAGAAAATCTCCACAGCTTAACTATCAAATATTCATTAAATATTTAATCTTATTCTACAGCTCTGCAGTTGTGCCCATCCAGTCCACAAACATTACTTTCACCACACCTATTGTTCCACTTACTTTGCTCTGTTCACATACAGTCAAGCCTCTGGCCCTGTTCTCTGCAACAAATAAACTCCTAGAGCCAATCCCTGCAGAGCTACCCTGTTGGTAGTAAAAACTATTTCCTGTGTCAAAAGTAAAATAGTAATGTTGCAATAAACTGGCACTGTCCACTTCCTCTTCCTTTTTGAAAGCGTACTGTCATTTTCTCAATATCCTCCTCTGATTACACTCGTCTGCAACCGGACATAAAGAACACATGGATTACATTAACATTGCACACGACCACATGTCAAGGACACCCTGGAACTATAAGACACTTCTTCATCACAGTGAGGCATTTATCAACGTCCACTGTCTATCATGTATTCAGAAATAATCAGAATACATAAATAACACATGCTCTCCATATCTCATGTGTATGACAAAACATTATACTGCAGTTGGCAGTGACCCGTTGGCATGAACTGCAGTGTGCAATCATGTCCAGTGAAGGTCAGTCTAGCAGGGGGCGTGAAAAAGAAAACATGCAGGTACAGTATGTACTCATGGCGGCAGAGTGAACAGAGACGGCCTTTGTGTTGTTCTGAACTGTAACCTCTGGATCAAAATGTAAATACAACACTACAACAATGTTGGTTTTATTCTCATGTTATATATCAGTCAGACCCTAAACGTACTGCCTTTGCATACAGACTGAACTTCTCCTCAAAAGATTTAAAGCTGTTCATAATAGTACCTCCTACATGACAACAAACTATATACAGTAGGTTCAAATTAGAAGACTCCCCGTTCCTGTTGCATACCTCCAGGGTTTAATTCACCCCAGCTCTGTTTTAATTTAAAAAACCATTCAATAAAAAATAAAATAAAAAAATAAATAAAAATAATAATAATTCACCCCAGTACTTTTTTCTTTTGTCCTGCATCATCAAGACATTTAACAACTACAGTGCCTTACATACTTTTTTAGTAGCAAACTAACTATTTCTCACTCAGATGTGATTCTGTCATGTTATAAAGTATGTTCAAAATGATCAAAACATTAAATTAAATGCATCATCTCCTCCCTTCTTCTGTGCAATTATAGTAGAGCTATATCCCCAGGATTTACTTGTTTAACTTTGTTTATTCATTGTTCATGTTTTTTGTGTAAACTAAGGATGTTCACACCTGCCCAAGTTAACAAAAAGAGTGCCAACGTACTTGATCATCACTTCAGAACATAAATTCATTCATAATGCACGACCTATACGTCAAGTTTCATTTTCATACCAACAGTAAAAAAAGTTTAAACCTCAGCGAGTACAAAATTGGAACATCGCCGAGTAACACAGATTTCAGATTTAAAAGTTACTGTTGAAGTTAAAAAAAAAAAAGGAACTTCACTGATAAAGCTCTGCACACTTGGATGTGTTGGATACAGCATAGTAAAGTTTGAAAACTAGCAGCATACAGGGTATGTACTTAATTGCAATTTGGTCCATCAGTGACTGAAAAGTGCACATTTTATCACCGTCTATACAGCATTGCAATGCATCAAATAGAAATACAATCCAGACTCGTGTTTTTCCATCTATTTAGTGATAATGTGCAAGGCCATCCTCTCTGTAGATGAAAAAGTGACACCTAATGTGTGTAAACAATGCACACACAGAAGCAGGATGTTTGCTGTAGAGCTCAAATAATGCATGTGTAACTGTTTCTCAAGGGAAACTAACAACACGCAGGTTTATAGGCTACTCTTGTTTCACCCTGTGAGTGAGGTTGATAAAAGAAAAACCAGCTTTTTGTATTTCAGTACAAAGACTCAACACTCCTTCAGTGTGTGTGTGTGTGGATGAAAAGGAAATTTCACAACTCTTCAAATACAAATTCTGGGTATAGACCCCCTTACCTGGTTATTGAACACAGAGATGTAACCTTAGTAACAGTGTTGCATTCTTACCTGAACCATGGTGATGACATGGCAGGGGTTCAGCAGGTATATCACAGTCTTGGTGGCGAACTTGAAGCCAACTTCGACTCCAAAAGTCATGCACAGAGCAACCAGCAACAGGTTTTTGCCCAGACTGTCTTCCTTTGCCCTTGTGCAGTCTTTCCCCACCACTTTGAGGTCTTTAGAAAGGTGTATCTTCTTGAGCGCCACGCCGATCTCCAGCAGGGAGATGAGGACCATGATGAGACTCTCGCCAATGCGCTGCTGGGGCGCGATGAAGGCGGCACACTCCGGGCCCCCGTTACCCTCAAACTTCGGGTCCACCCCGCCGTACACCCAGTCCAACAAGCTGTATATGTTATATCTGGACATATTCCTTTTCTCGTGTTGAAAAAGATACGAACAAGATGGGATTAAAGACGTCACACTGACTTCCTGGCGAAACATGAACTGCAAGATTTCCCTGTCGTAGCTTTTCTCGCGGTTGAGAGGTAGACATGTATCCACCGTCGTGGTGTGTTTGAGCTAGCTGAAGACACAGAAACTACCTCACCCGCAGGCGGAGGAGGAACTTCAGCTAGCAGCAGGAGGCAGAAGTGGTCAGGACTACCAGTGCAAGCTGCTGCATGTAGGGGGGGGAAGTGCCTCCCTCTTAGCTCACGTCCCTTACACAGTTACAAGCTGAGCTAAGCTAACATTTACAGGCATGAGGCTTCGGCATCATTGGAAACATTGAGCCGTGTTATCTACGTCCGCCTAGTCATTACAAGCTAGCTGTGGAGCGGTTTCCTGGAGGTTGGGTTAGCGTTTGCTTGGCAAATGCACAGGCACAGGGTTAGGTAAGGTTGGCTAGCTATGCTACAAAGCTAAGTGTACCTTGTTGAACTGAAGCGGCCGGAGTTTTGATACCCCGAGTTTTGGCTGCTAGGATTATGAGAAATAACCACAGCCTGTAGGAAATTACGTGTGACACATACTGCAGCGTAGTGCAGTATGTGTCACATGTTAAGTAGGATATTAATTCTAAATTTAAAAAACTCGATAAATAAGTACAAAAAGTTATTAAAGTAGATTGTTTTCGCAGCCTTGTCGATTACTCAGTTAATGCTGAATCACGTGAATCGAGAAACTCGTGTCCAGTGGCAAATAACATAATAAACATTGGTGATATTCACAAATTATGTTTTTGAATTATTTTTTACTTCAATGTATTCGTGTAACACACATGGCGTGCCCTTCCCGATAGTAAAGTCTGAGGGCATAAATAACCCTGGTACGCCGTCACCGGCACACGTGACGCTTCGGATGGTGCGTTCATGAAGATTAAGGAATCTTCCGTGATTCTTGTTGCTGCATCAAAATGAATTTCAAGTGATAAGACAAAGATAGGTTGATGGCCTGAATTGATTAATCAGCGCAAAACGAATGGGCATAAAAAGAGTGATATCCAAATGTAACTATTTTACTAACATGTTATCTCCTAAACAGGGAGACATTCTGGGGAGATATCTTTTTAAGCCCATTGTATGCAATATACACTTTTTTTTTAACAGTAGTTGTAATTATCGTGATATGTTAAACAATGTCACCAGCGTCTGTTTTATTGACTTTGGCATTATTTTAAATGAAGGACAGGATTGGCATGACATTTTTTTTGCATAGATATCCTCAAATTGTTCTGAAAAACCACCCACAACTATTTACGGCAACCTTCAGGGGGGAAAAATCGACCTATATAACCTGTTAAATGGAAAGTAACAGTGAAATGATGTGTGAAAACTATTGAAGTCAATTGATGTATGATATATTTTAGTTACGCTAATTTAAAGTAAATGATGTCTGCATATCAAGGTGTCACTGCAAAACAATTAGTTTTCTTTTCATGCAACAGATAATAAATTCACTAACAGCTGTGGGACACATCGATTACTGTGGAAAGAAAGCTGCCATCACAATGGCTATCCATTGGAAGGGTTCTCCATTGTTAAATGCTTTTAAACAGTCTTTTAAAAAGTAGGTTATCAAACCATAACATAAACAATATCAAGGGCCCTAATGGGTAGATCTTAATCATTTTCTTTGAGACATTTCAACAAGTAGCCTATGAGTTAAAGTCTGCAAAAGCTGATTGAAGTGAAACAAATATATACACATGCCAATAACAGAGTCCACAGAGAGATCATTTATAAACTGGTTTCCTTCATGGTAATTTGCGTTCCCATCAGAGGAGGGGGCCGTGGTCTAATTTTTTCTCCAATCTCATTGGTTTTTGGATTCCATTCAATTTTAAAATACTTTTTACAAAAAACACAAGCTGCTGGGGGGATTCAGGGGTATGTGGGGGCTGGGAAAGAGCAGGAGTGGACAAGTGTTTGGATGCATCTAATGTTCCTCCATCAGCTCCTGCTCTCCTTCACGTTTGGTTTTAGAAATGACACCACACATGATTCCATTAATGTAGGTGGATGTGTGTAGCACTCAGTGTAGCACATGGCCTCCTTTACAGCAGCTCCATGATTCCGGGTGTAAACTCTGCTGAAATAGTGTATCTGTGTATCTAAGTGAGTAAAAACAGAGTAGTGCTGATTGATTTCACTGGTGGTATAGTGGAAAAACTGTGCCTTGGTGTGTTTTCAGTTTCTTGTAATGGGAATAAAGATAAGATCAGTTGCCCATCAAAAGATGAATTTTTAATTAAACAATTTACTGATAAGCACAGAGGATTGTGAGGAGGATCCAGTGGGATTCAACACAAACAGTCATGTTCCTGTGAGAAATAGGAAAAGATGCTTTGAGCTTTAGATTCATTACATAAACATGATGTATTTTCAATCCAGTGTTTTCATTGACTAATTGCTGGAATCTTTTCAAGTTTCATGTGACTCAAGTTAGCCTTCACCTCTATTTAATGAATATTTATGTATATACAGTATGTTATAAAACAGCTCTAGTTGCTCAATACAGCTGCTGTGGCTCAGTGGTAGAGTCAGTTGTCTCTCAAAATGCCAGGGGTTCAATCCCCAGCTCCTGCAGCCATATGTCTCGGTGTCCTTGGGCAAGACATTTAACACCAAATTGCTAAGTCAGCAGCGTGTGAATATGAACGAATGGACGAGTAGCCTCTGCCATCAGGGTGTGAATGGGGAGTCGTGACCTGCAGTGGGAGAGCTTAGTCAGAAGACTAGATAAGGGCCATACAAGCTCTAGTCCATATACCAGTTAATTTCATACAGGGCACTATAGTCATTGCCGAATGTGAATATGAAAAAAAAACAGAGAAATGCACATAACCCATTGTCAGAACACTTTAATGCTACTTTGACCCCCTGTGGAGAAAGAGGTATGCTGTATCTCTTTGCTCCTGCATGGCATGTACATGTGTAAGTAGTTTTCTTATTGAGGAAACATCTTCCTGCTGTCGTTTAACAGTCAGATATATCACTCACTATGAATCTGTGCTGCATTCTGTTAATCTACTTGTCTGACACCTGCCTGCGGGGCAGCAGGTTAATTAAGAATTAACATTAAGAACATCCTTATAAAAATAGTCAGTCTTGTAAGTGATGGTCTTGTTTGCATAACGTTGGTATTATAGAGGCATCTTTATTAATATGAGTCTGTTTCATAACCAGTTTAATATTCCTCAAGGAGCTGTTAACTAGCTGTCAGAACTGGGATTCATTATGACTAGAAAAATGAATACGGAATTCGGCTATTAGTGAATTGTCCATTTAGGACATGATCATTTGAATAGGGGCTATATTAATGTGTTAACTGGGATGTATTGTAATGTACAAAAAAAATCTTGACATCCAACCAGGACCTGCTGTCAAAGTATTTTGATGTTTGAACTGAACAAGATATTGAGATATTTGTGCTCAAAACATCAGACATACCTTTAGTATTAAGGTAGAACTTCTGTTAAAGTGTAAAATGTGGGACCGCAAAGACACAAGTGGACAGGTTATCCCCCGATCTGACCTATCAAATGCTTTAAGCCTTTTTTCCCTAGACCAATATTTTGTTGAAGTTACATAAAAGCTGTACCATATCAACATAACGAGCCTATAAGACTTCAAACATGTTGCTGAGGGATTCAGGCCTTCTTCCAGGAGTGGCAGGGCCTGCCGTGGACTCTTTCCCATCACTTGCCGCCCAGGAAAAAAAAGAAAAGAGTTCATTTTCACATTCCTGTGAGGGTAATACAGTATGTTCTCACAGTACCACAAGGGAAAATACTCTGACTCACTTTACAAGCCAGTGTGGGCTATAAAGTCCAGACTTTGCTTCAGGATGTAGAGAGGAGCTGAGCGAAGGCTAAAGATCAACCGGCTTCCCAGCACTTGATCCTGAGGGATGAAGAGCGACTCGCTCTCTTGGCTCAAGATATTCAACTCCTCCAGTATAAAAACTGTCAGAAGTAACTTAGTGAAATCCCGACCCTGCAAGTCGGCTAGAAAAAGACCAATTAGCTGAAGATTGAGACGGACCAACCAGGCAGAAGGGGAAAATAGCAGCAGAACTTCAGTTTTATAGACTCAAAAATGTATGAGTTAAAGCTGCTGTTCTGTGCTGTAGATTTGTTTGTTTTGGTTCAAGGCTGGATTATTTGTCTGGAAACAGAGATAGCAGGAGGTAACTGCCTATGGAGAGATATAAGACTACATATCTGACAGCTCTCCCCACTCATTTTTAACTAAGCCTCATTTTTCAACCACAGATAAATGAATCATTTTGGTTTTATTTCTTGAAAAATAGAAAAACAAATGAACCCATATGTCAGAAACACATGTTGGAATTTAACGAATAGCACAACAGCATGAACATGATAAACTTCTCATAATTTATCAATTCTTGGTTGTTTACTTTTTTGTCGTTGCTTGATTTGTTACACAATTTTCACTAAAGGCCATACTGCTGGTTTTTATTTTGTTTTTTAGCATTTTTCTTTTGCACTATAATTATAGTTTAATTGTGGACCTGGCTGTTCTTTAGGCACATTTAAGCTTGCACAAAAGAGGCACATTTTCTCCATGAACATGTCGGTTTTTGAGCTCATATACACATAGCTGCATGTCAGTTTTAAGCTCTGACTCACTGCAAAAAAAAGAAGAAAAAATTAGGATTCAAAGCTGGTTTGACTCACCAGTTCTCCAAATCACAAAAATCATGAGCCAAGTGTTGTCACAACTGAATGAAGTGCTTGTTCAAATTTAAAATGGATTATGTCTGACACGAACACACCCGAAGCAAGACGCACACAATCCTGTATCACACTTGTCACCGCTGTCTGTGACGTCTGTACTCAGCTGTTCTGCACACTGGGAGCTTAGGAGTGGACTCAGTAGGAAAGTAAACACAAAAATAATCTTTAATGGACGCATTTTCCTTTTTTAATTTGAACCATACAGCAGGAGTGTCTTAACCTCTTTATTAGGAAGAAGAATTTTCTCAGAGCTGTTGGTGTCACCAGGGGGCGATGTTACCATGTAACACCAAGTGGATTTCAGATTCCACTGGAGGCTTAAAAACCTTTTTTAAATACTCTGTTATAACAAACTCTCTATAGCTGCTTAATTTGCTCTAGTATCATGGTATGGAAACAGCATTTTACTGTCATATAGTCTGTGTAATTTTCACATTTTTGAAGATATAAGCCTAATAAAAACTCAAAAATACATTATACATCAATCAATGCTAGTCGTCCACATACATGTTTGTAATGATAATGTTTGTTTTGATTTTGTTTCATTTCATTTCATCATGCTTCTTCTTTTTGCCATGGTTGCTTTGATTTTATTCCGATAGTTGTGTTTATGAAATATTGATTCAATCATTTTACAGTGTGGACTGCACCAAGATTGGAACTGCAACAGGGGCTTCAGATAAAACATACAGATGGTGAAGCAGCTGAACTAGTTTTTGTGCATATTTTCATTGTTTACACTTTGCATACATTTAAATTTCTAATTAAGAAATGGTACGATTAACAATGGTTACCAGGCAGCAGAACCATTTCCGTCTTATATAAGGGGCGGACAAACAGAGCTATTTTAAAAAGGCAGATGTGGACGACTGGGGCTGAGGAGGAGGCATCTAAATGGACAACAAATAAAGTATTTTACGGGTTTAGGAGCTTTGTGTTTGTCAGGATGGTGTGAAAATCAATGGGCTCCTGAGGGGGCGGCTGAGCTCTGATAGGCCTCCTCCTCTCCTCACTGCAGAGCAGGAATCAGTCAAGGATATTAATCTAAACATCAGTCATGCATGGGGAACACCCCACGAGGAGAATAAGCTTGCTCATCCATGCAGCTCCTGGGGGAGGCAGGGTGGGGGGGCAGGAGGGGGGCTTTGAGGAGGGGAGTAGAATGGGTAAGTATGTCAGGGTATCATCTCTGGAGATGTGATGTGGGCTGACTTTGGGCACACAGACAATAAAACCCAAACTGAAGAGGTTGGCACCATTAAAACTGAGGTTTGTGCTTGGCTCAGTGATGCACGATATAATGTGTGTTACAGCATTGTCACAGAGCTGAGCATGCACAGTGCAAACAGTGACAGGAAAAGAACAATGCATTTCCTCTGTGTGTGGAAAATGGAAGCTATACGTCTGAGTTGTATGTAAATGTAATTCATCTCACTGCAATCTTATCCTCCAGCCGTTCTAACAAGCCACACAAGAGCCTTGAAGTATTAAAATGCGGGCCTAGTCCATTTTCTTATTACCTCCAATAAGCTGTATTTCATTTTCTCTCATCACCTTCATAAAACGTCTTCTCAGCCTCTTTTTCAACAGCTCGTGCAGGGTTATCTTTCCCAAGGACGAGTACAGCTGTCGAGTCGTTTCTCCAAGAGGATACCCCATGCCGACTGCAGGGCATCTGAGCTTTCCACTCCACGGCTAATCTAATGTAGCGAGACTGTCGAGGGTGCTAACAGCTATGGAAACATGCCAACATAGTCAATTTTAACTTGCTAATCGATGGCAGAACCTAAACTGGAAATCATGGAGTGAATTTCAAATTAAACTCCCGGAGATACAGTCAGGCAGAGAATAGAAAGATTTTAAAGCAGTTTATTTCAGCTATACAGCTGGGACTGGAGCTGTGGCTTATAACTCAGTGACTCAGTGAAATGTTGAATAATTGCAGAGTTTTCAGTTGAGTAAAGTCACATCTCCAAGTCTTATGGCTGTCTTCTATTTCAGAAATAGTGAACTATTAATGAACCATGCAAGGGTTCATCTCATTCCAGCATTCATTTGTGTATCCACTATCTCTCTGTCCTATACGGGTTCACTTTTCAACATATTAAGTTTTTTTTAAAGAGCATAACATAAGATTTATATACACACACACACACACACACACACACACAACGTCCATCAAACGTTTATAAAAAATAACCAATAAAACACTTGAGAGTGATCAATACTTACACCTTTATTTATTGTATTTATGTATATGTGTGACTGTACCTGTTCTATCTGGGCGACGTATCCTCCAGGATACAAACATTTAATGCCTGATTATCAAAGTTTTGAAAACCTGATTCATCAGTTTTCAACAAGAATTTAAGAAGTTCCTTAAATTATTATTATTTTTAAACCGAATACCACCAAACTCAGATAAACCTGGAAAAATAACAACACTAGGTATACGGTCAGTGTCTTTGTAACACTGCCATTTTGGATTTTGATACAAATGATTTGTGTTTCTATTTGAATGTTGGCATGAAGTCACATGACCTGAGTACTCGACCCAAACCTCCCTTTAGCGTTTCTCATGATATTAAGTGCACTCACTTAGTGCCCCTCCGCCCCACAGGCGGTCAAATGTCTGTATCCCTCAGGTTACACAAAAACAACTCAATAAAAAACTTTAAGGTTACCAAAAGTCAGTTACTGTAAATGACACAGACTGCAGAAACTGCAGACATCTTATTTTAAAATCAAATATACCATATCGCCCAAACCTTGTTTTGTGTTCAATTACCTAAGGGATCAGATTTGTAACTTTTTCAGATTTTGTACCTAATTAGGAATTATTCACCTCTTCCACTAGAGGGCAAAGCACACGTCTATACTGGTAAAAAGTCATCCTGCAGTGTAAATTCAGCATGATTGAACTTTTCCAGTAAAATCCAAAAATTCTACCTCATCTTGATTTTGTTGAATGAGAGTGATGCAAGTATTATTTTCACTGGTCAAAACAGGCAATACAATTAACAACAAAAACACAATGAACCATTCAGGCTTTCTGCCAGGCTCCAGCACCTGAACTAACTGCTAAAAAGCAGAAAACTCTGGTGTTGAATGGATCTCTTTCTATGATACCTGTCAAAGTGGGCCGAGCTTCAGGAAAGGTGCCATCGTAGTACTCAGGCCCTGGAGGAAAAACATTTTAAAATAAACAAATGCTTAATAGTCAAATTTTATTTACAAAACAGGACTTCCATGGAAAACTACAAGAAATATCAGCCATGTTATAATAACAGCTGACATCCAGAATGTACTGATATGTTGCTACTGGGCTGTAGCATGTTGGTAATTTAAGATGCAAGATCATTTTATATTGTATCTTGGATAGTTTCTGTTACAATGGAGAAAAATTATAGTACCAATTATTTTCTCACAATAAGATAGAATAAGTCATTTCAAATGTTTCACACAAAGTGCTCCTTGTTGTACGGTTTTTCTTGTACTGCTCATATCATTTGACAAGCACTACAAAGGACACTGTAACCTGCTGATCCAAACACATTTTCTTCCTGTCTGGATGTATCCTGAAAGGTTATTTCTCAGGTTCACATGACAGGTGGCTGAAAGAAAAAATGTCAAGTTGTGACGAAAATCGTGGTCACAGTGGAAAAACTGACCTAGAAGAGACTAAAAAAAAAAAAGTGATCCTATTTGGATTACGATGGAACAACACCTGCTGAATGGTTGAAGCTCACAGCAGACAAAGGAGCCAGCTTCAGGGAGAAGATAGAGTTCACGTCGAAGAGAAAGTGCTAGAAAAGCCTGAAGAGTGCACAGCAGGGCACTTCTTACCGACTATGCTACAATTAAAGATAATAACTCTGCCTCACATTTGGTTGTCAGAGACATCAGTGGCGATAAGGTCAGGCTTTTAGAAGTTGAAAGATGACTGACTCATAAAATGTCAGTCCAACTGATGTAGTCGTCTGTGCTTTCTTATATTCACATCTCTACATGCTTTTCCAAAGCAACTCAAACTGTGTGATACCTTCACAAATTATAACATGTAAAAATAATTCCCTTTCATGTCACTGACAGATTAGCACTCTCATAAATTAGTCATGTCAAAATAGTTTCCATTTAGAGTATATAGAAGCAGATAAATCTCCATATAGTTACATTTATGGTCAGTGACATTAAGCTGTCATTTTTTTGACATAGTAAGATTATGATGCTTAATAGTTACACCGTGTGGTGGTGAAAGCTATAACCTGAAATACATAACATTTGTAGGTATATTACATTACATGGTTGGAGGACATCCTTAAACCAAAAACTATTTTTAAAAAATAATTTGGTAGGCTAGAAAATTAAAACATGAAGTAGCAAACATCGAAAGAGTCTAGGCCATGGCTTATATAGGCTTCTGGTTATATTTGAGGGTGACTGGTACAGTGATATGATGTTTATTTAGAGTAAAATGAGCTCCATAAATTTTGAGAGAAATTGTTGAGTTTTTAGACTCTGATGACTTTAATAGTTGTGGTATAGAAGGATTATTCTTTTCAGTCCAAAGAAACACAACCACAAGCCATAAATACTTCCTCAAGTCCTGCACTATTTACTGTACCATAATTGTATTAACAGCTGTTCTGCCAAGATATAGAATAAATTAACACTTTTTTTTTTTAGATAACAAAGGTCATGTACTTGTAAACTCAAGATAAGAGGATTGCTAATTGTAACATTGGCCTCTATACTCTTTCAAGGAAACTCTTACCCTCTGGCATTAAATATAAATAAATATGTAAATAGAAATATTGAGCCCACTGAGCAAATACATCAAAGACAATACTATTAATTTAAAAAAATGGTAATTCCTAGTTTTTTTTAATGGCTAATATTTTATAACATATTAAACAATATATTGTATGTAGGAATCCCATATAGTTTCAAACATCTTTTTGGACATATAACATGGCTTATATTATTAGGAATCAGTCATTAATACTATCAGAAACACATATGTAGCAAGTGTATAGTCTATCCTAGGTGAACACCCATTTTTTTGCTGGCAAATAAATCAAACGCACCCTATGAAAAATGGCGGTTTATTTAAACTGACCACACACACACCTCTGTAGTAGGCCTACTCCTGCTGCTCTACTCTACAACACTGCACACTCTGCTAGATCTGCTGGTCGTTAAGTAGCAAGTAGCTCACCTGCGCCGGTCATGTCTTCAGAAGGACTTTGTAGAGGAGTATTGTTTGGCTGCTCTTCATTTAGAGGTTCTTCATCCTTGTACTGTAGCACAAAGTTGAAGCTGGAGTTGAGTTTACCTGTTCTAGTGCTGTGAAGGCGTTGCTAAGAGACGGAGAGAAGCTGATTCATTCAACAAACTAGGTAATCTAAGTATTTGCTGTCTGTGTCTATGTTTCTGTTTTTGTGGGGTTCTTTTAGAAGTTAATCTTTCAGTCCATGTTCTTTTACAGAGTTTATTGACATGAAACCTTGTTGCACTGGCTTCTACAGGTAAATCAGGGCTTTATAGTACACAGGCTGTCACATTCATTCTTCTTCTAAGAAGTCTATCAGCTCAACATTGGAGAACATTTCAGCTCAAAGTCATAGGTTAATGTCAAGCTTCTTTTACTGCTTTTTATAAATGCATCTAAAGTGCTGGCCTCAGGTCATCTGCATCTCAGCTACACTGCATAACATCATATTATAGAGCAGAATGTCTCCCTTCTTCTTCAGATTCTATGTTTTTTTATATATCAAAGATGACTTTTCCCTGTTGCTGTGTATCAACTTTAAAGTGGAGTTAAGATTTTTCCATCTCACTTCATTGGATTGTTTATTCTCTGCAATGTTTGGAGACACTCTCTTGGATAATGGCCACATGGCAGCTGGCGCCCTCCCTTAGAGGATTCTTCATAATTGTAGTTGGTCTGTGTTTATTATTGACATTTCTTTTTTTTTCCTGTGGAATGACAGAAAGTGCTGCACTTAAACCGTGCTTGTTTAAAGGAAAAATAACACCAGTGGCTTACATGCTAAAAAATAATTTTCAAAATCATGTTGACAATTGTATATTCTGACTGAATGTAATAATGTAGGGTTTGCATCAGTGTTTTCAGGATTAAAACAAATACACTACAGTTAGTTTAGGGAAGCTAGGCTGGACTCATTGATGTTGTAGATGGAAAACTCACCTGCTTAGGTGATAAATTAATCAAGTTGGGCAAATTATATAATTAACTATAAGAATAACTATCATTCACTGCTCCACCAAGTCAGCAGGTTTTGAGAGTCCAAAACTTTTACATTATAAATGAGATTTTATTCCATGTCATGCAAATGTGCCCAGCACTCACAGGCTTTGAAAATCAGAGGGATCTTATTTAAAAATCTTTTGTAGATCACATATATTTTGATGTATAGTCTGTTTAATTGAATTGAATTTCATGGTTTTTGAAAATTCAGCATTCAGAGACTCATTCTCAAATCATTTGTTAAACTCTGCAATTATATAATTTTAATTAATGCACAGTGATTTATTTTTAACAACACATTGTGCATAATCATATTTTTAAAATCCCCCTTGAGCTTTTAGGCCCGACTTCATGTAGGGCTGTTTAATGTGGGCCTACACAGCGTAATGATGTGCATTATTCCCTGTGCACAACTGCATATCTGTGAGATTGAAAGACTTACCTAAGAGTTTTTTCTGTAAACCTGCCATTATGGGGAGGCATCAGTTGCAGTATTTCATGTTGAGTATTTAACCAAATATGAGTTACACTGACAGACATGTCAATGCAATTATCTTTATTCACTATTAAGAACACCTAGCCTTGAACAAAAGGTTGCCCACAGTTTTCCAGACGCACTCAAAAAAGTGGCAACTTCAGGTGTTGTAAAATGAAGCCAATGCGGAAATTCAAAATCTTTCAGTTCGCAGAGGGACTGCTTGAGGCAAGCCCCCAACATCATGCACGCATTACATTTAAAAAAAAGTCTGTTTTTACGGCATAAATGAACATGTTTACAGCCTGGTACAAACAACGATATTGGTCTGATTAGTTATTGTCCTAATGGGAAGACACTGCACAGTGTATGTATTTTTTTTTTTTTACAACACATTCGTTTTGATTTTATGAACGATACGAGTTATGCATAGTTTGGCACGTAGCTGACCTGATTGGCGGGTGTAGTTGTTTGTCAAGGGGCTTAAACCCTCCTCATCTCCAGCTCTTATCTTGTCATAGTTTGACAGAACGTTAGGCTGAGACAGGATTTCTAGCAGAGCGACTGCCGTCGATGATCCTTGGGAGCCCCATGTAGTAATAGATGGGTGACGTCACTCAGTCTTTGTACATTAATATATACGGTCAAAACAGAGGTTAGCAACATAGTAGAGCATCTTTTAGTCTGTCAGGATTTCCTTACATTTACCTGATAACTCAGGAATCCAATATATTTCTATTTCATCAATGAGAGCGTCAGATTAAAATGTAATCTATTCTTTGCTGCAGCCTCATGTCCGGCAAATTGGCCGTATCTGCACAGTTTGGCATCTGTAAGCTGACCTAAATGACTGAGGCGGTCTGTTAGAAAAATACAAACTAAATAAATAAAAACATTATACTTTGTCGTGATCTACGTGACTATACCCTGGCTTTTTTTCTGGAACTTGAAGCTGTCCTGTGATGATGCTGAATTATTTCTTAGACATATTTAGGTTTATCTTCTTAATCAGACTGTGTTTTACACTTTAATTAAACAAAACTACCTCTTGTTGTTTCTTCCAATGTGAAGCTTACATTCCATTATCTTTCTGTGTTGTGAAACTGTCTATCATACAGTCATCCTCTGTGATATGTATTGACTGATTGTGTCAGGATTGTCACTGTTCATGCTTGTAACACAAAAAGAGTTATCAACCCTGCAGCAGATGGCCATTACCTTGGCTGTAAATGAACGTGTAGCATTCTGTCCTCTTATTGTGTTCACATAAAACCACAGCAGTGCCGCTCGCAAACACAAAGCCTATATGTTCCTGGTAACAATAGCCAGTAAATGTATAATGGGATTGTTCCATTTATCATAGCAAGCACACACAAGCAAACAACCATATGTCCATGTTGGGGCCTTTTTATAGAGCTCATTTTCCGTGCTGAGAAAAATGAGGTGTTTTAGTTTCCGACATAATAGCGTTCCTGTGCAGTCAAAAGCACCTACAGGGCAGGCAGGACTGGACCGGAGCCAGAGAGCAACAGTAACCTTCAGAGTTTGCAGACAAAAGCACTGCTACGTTTTTAATGAATACAACTCTGTAATAGTCAAACGGAGACCCTTCTGCTTCGTTAAGTGCTCTGTACAGACTTCATTTTTCAAGAATGTTTCAATAAACTGTTTAGATAGCGATATGAACTATGTTATTGATGCAACAAAGACCAAAGCTTGTTGCAGTTTTTCCTCATAGAGACCTGAACAATTGTTTTAGGATATTCAGTGTTTACCAACAGGGCTACCTTCAAAAGTCCAGCAGTGCAGTCTTTAACCATGTTAACATAATAGACTGTCAGACTAACTGCAGTATAGTTCAGCTCTGAAGGCTTTTTTCTACTGGCAGTTTTCAGGGCAATTTCCTTGAATTCTGACCCTTAAAGAAAAGACATTTCAGAATACTTCTCAGTCTAAATAAGCTTGTCAGAAGGTGCACTTTGTAAGTTTTTTGTTGTGTATAATGTACAATTGTCCTACAGTGGCAGACAGAGTTATTGGCTCCTCTTAGATATGAATGTTCTCTTCCCTGTAGGATGTCCTCGCAGTGTACTGCTTGTTTTATCCCTAACAAATCGCTGTGTAAATACCACAAACAAAACGTCTGGCATCCACAGAGACAATGAGACAGAAATACTTCTCATGTGAGCCCCTAGGGGAACTTCAGATGAGTCCACCATGTTGAAAATGTGTATCTTTGACCCTTTGGATGCAACAAGAAAAGGCCGTATGACTCCAAGGCAAAATACAACGTCCTTTTTAATCCCCATTTCCATTCGCTACGTCAGACAGTAAGAACATGAACGAGAGAGGGCAACATACAGAGTCCAGTCACTGAGCATACACTGTAGAGAGCCAGTTCCCAACAATAACACAAGAGTCCACTATGTTCCCAGAGCTGTCTTTGTGGAGGAAGTCTCTGATCTCTCAACGCGCGGGGGACATGCAGTGAAATTTCTGGAGAGAGAACACAGCGTGTATGACTCCGCTCGCAGTCATCTGCTAATTCACAGTTAGGTTTGAAAAGTGCACACAAGGTACTGATCTGGTACGTAGCTCAATGAATAATACCTCTACTGTACGTCTGTAAAATACCATAACACTCAGTGTTACAGAGCTCAATGTAAGACAGCGGTACTTATCAGATGTAAAAATAAATGACGTGACATATCAATATTCACAAAAAACTATTGGCATTGAATTCACAATATATACAAATTCACAACTTGGAAACACTATTGTGACTAATTAAAATTGTTGCCATTTAGTTAATAATAATTTCTTCAGTTTCTCTATTTGTCTAAGGCTTTCTACCCATCAAGAGATTTGCATCAATGCTGTAGAGATTATGTCGTATAAAACATATATAATATTTAATGCTGTACGGAATAGCATAAATATATCCATATAGTCATATGCTCTTAATATATTGTATCTTATAGGATGACATGTTTTTGCTGAATTTAACTCTGGCCCTGTGAGGAAAAGATTTACCACACAAATAAAAACACCATAATAACCAAAGCTAAATGGCAACAATACAGTAGAGTCCTGTTTTGTCAAAACCACTCAGGAATAACACCCTGAATTACCACAAACTCTTCACTCAATATGACATTTTTACATGCAATTCTTTAACAATACTGTTCTAAATATAATTTATTCTTTTACAGCCACTTGTTTTTGCAATCTGGCATGTTTCTCTAGCCGTCAGTCTGAGCAGTTTGGATGACAGAGATTCTACTGTAGTTGAGCTGCAGAGAGGTTGTGGTCGTGTGGCTCTGAAAGTGTTTTTTCTCCCTTTTTTTTTTTTTTTTAATGACTGGCAGACTTTAAATGTTTGTGAACAATGAATGCCATCTTGCAAAAAATACATAAATCTAAAAGATTTTCAGGAAATGGATCAGCCAATATTAGCTTATCCAGTGACTATCAGTCTCGGCTATTTTATCGCAGATATTTGCCAAAATTTAACAGATTTATTCGCCACTCAAATAGCATTTAATTTGAGTTTCACTGAATTACACTAACAATTTTCTGTCACCAGCAGAGGGCGCTATATGGATTACAACCATTGTTTTTTATCACTCTCCAGGATGTCACGAACAGGCACAGTTAATTTCCAGTCGAGTGACCATTTTGTCTTTGTTATATATCTTTTCCACAAGCGTTTGATCAATAAATGTGTATATCTATCTCTACACATTTCATAGTTTAAAGAAATATATTGGCCGACATATCGGTATCAGGTTTTTTTCCCCTCTCCAATATCGATAACTGGCTCAGCTCATTGAGAGAATCTCAACACTGAAACAAAATGCCATTTGTATCTGTCTAATTATAAAATATGCAAACACTGGTAGTTTTCTAGCTTTAACTGATGTTGCCCTCTCTGCTAGCATAATCGCTGCTGAGTGGGCTTCTGTTTTGAAAAGAAGAAACAAATATTTTTTTTGGATGGGGGGGGGGGCTACATGCTAATACTGAGAGTTAGGCATTATTGGTGTCATTTTTGGCACTGATATTAGAACAACTGAACACACATGAGATACTAGATAAGTGAACCGACTAGAGGCATGTGTGTGTAGTGGTGATATTTACGACTGATTGTGTCACTCATGACCTTCAGTTATAACACAAATGTACCTCAACAATATGGCTGCTGCTGCTTCTTCTCGTAACTTTTTACCTACAGAACCTTGATCACATTACTCAAAGGACTCCTGCATAAACATTAGCACTTGCTGTCATCAGATTCTGAATTAGCAGCAGCAAGCAGGCTTTGAACAGCCTCAGCTGATGTGTATCATGACTCAGTTTGTTTAAGACGGAAATATAAAAATCAAGTCTGAAAAAGAGACAGAATGCTTCAAAGTAGGAACCACTTTGCCAGATCATGAAATATATTTTGTTCTAAATGTCATACTGTCAGCTGCTGACGACTGATTAACTTCACATGATATTAAATAAGTAGACACATTTAGTATCAATATTTAACAGGGACATGTTCACCTGGTTTGTAATTATTATTCTGACGTGGGTATGAAACTTAATGAGGTGCTCACAAATCTCATCCAGAGATGATGTTGTCATGATTTATTACGTTTTAGATCGGCCATTGTTTGAGAGTTTACCAGTGGCTATTCATGCTGTTCCTTTAGTAGTTCATATCCCTGGTTAGCAGAAGTCTCTTTGTGGTGTCTTTAGTGTCTATGCTTGATGAAAGATGATTTTAGACATGTTTTGATGATTAAATGGTAAAATGATCTGTCTCTTACAATGTATAATGAACTAACATGTCAAATATAATCGAATCAGTGCAAAAGTGTAGTTAGTGGGACTGATAAACTTTGAATCCTAATAAAACAGATAACAAATAATTATCTTATCATTCTTTTTGATATTGGGTTTTGATTAGTTTCTGAAAAGAAAAATGAAAAAAGACCCTTCATGTTGTTTGCCTCGGCTGAGCTTGCAATTACTAGTTTTGAAAAGTGACCTCCAAGTTAAGAACTAAATCAAGCACATTCATTCTTTTTCTCATTTGTTTTAAATTACTTGTAACTGAAAGGAAAGCAGAGCCAGGGGTGTGAGTGTGTACACTCTGTACTACTAGACGAGGGTAAAAACAGTTTCAGAGCGCCGTGCTAGCCGCAAACTGTTAGCACAACCAACATGTTTACTGTAAATGCGTTTATGCCAACGATGCTGAAGTGACGTGTTAGTCATGAGTACAGAAACATTAATACTAAGCCCTATTTTAGTGCGACAAACACCATTATTGGAGGTTGCAGACATACACGTGTACAGATTGTCATGCATTAACCTATGACTGATACATTGTACATGTTTCGTGTTATTAACACCTTTTTGTGAAGAGGCAACAACACAGTCCACTCATTCTTCTATGCTTACCACTGAAGACACAGTTTGAAGAGATCCACTGCATGTTGGCGTCTAAAGTACAGTGTTCATCAAAGAGTCTACGCTCAATATAATGCAAAAGATCCAGAGTGCATCCAGTGAATAAAAGAAACAGACATAATTTTAGAATCATAAAACATCTGTGTTAAAACATGAAACAAAATCCAACACATAACAGAAACACAGATTACACTTAACAAACTGAAAGCAAAAGTTGGAGACAGTCACCACAACTGGAGACATATCGGATTTATGGATAGTTTTTTGGAAAGTGATCATTTTTGTACCATAATTTTGCATTTCATTGGCACTGAATAGATAATTAACTTAATTAGTTTAGTGTTGTAGGGATCAGGCATTCCTCTGTTGTCATTTCCAGATTTGAAAGCAATTTTCAGGGTTATAATCTCCAGTGATGAAAGTATCGCCAAAGTTTGTGAAGACATACTGTATTGGCCTTTTGTTGACTACAGCAAAACACAAGAAAAGTACAGCATATGTAGACAATCAAATCGATACCAATTCACATCACACAAACAAGTAGAAAAAGGCAAAAGTTCAACGTGAAACCAAATCTTGGCAGAAGATAGAAAAAAAAAAAAATCAAACTAGGGTCAAAAATGGCTACAGTAACAGATGCAGAGAAGCAAAGAAATACAACTCATGTGAAGAAAAGAGTGTGTAGGCTTTAAAGTATTAAACATCTTGTGTTAATTGTATTTCCACAGAAATAAACTCCTATTCAGAATCAAAACTCCTGTTTGAGGTAATGGTGGTAGTTAGTTTTGGACCGCTCTGCTCATGGAGATATCGCACCAGTTAGCCAAAACATAAATGCACATGATAATTGTTCTGGACTACCCTGGAGCCTTTAATCTCTTTGCTTCATCTTTTCACAGGCAGAGGTCTATTAACCTTCCACACTAATGGGCAATTTTACACCGGGTGCCCATGCCCAAGGGCCGAGGAGGGGTCGGTGGAGGAGAGCCACATACTGCGGTGTGCGGAGCCTGTGGACACCAGTTGGTATGTAATATACACAAAGACATTATGTGTATGTGTTAGCGTGTCAGAGCCTTCTCCTTTATCATGTGTGTTTATTCACCAAGGCACATAGCTTCTCTGTCATTGAACATACTCAGCCAGTTAAAACAATAAGGGCCACTGGACTATAAAATGTACAGGCAGCCCCCATTGGGACGCCAAAGCAATCCCTGTGGCACTGCGTCGGGTTTGTTGAGATTTAGGCCAGACACTGACGATTATTAATGATGTTCCTATAGAACCTATACAGGCCGCCCTGGAGCCCAGTGCAGCAACTCAAGGCGTTTTTTTCCAGTGCATCACTGTGTGTGTGTGCGCGCATGCATGTTAACTCGATGGATGTGTCAGAACCTTATCAGCGGTAATGAGCCACAATGAAAACTTCAAAGGCATGCTCGCTCTAACTTATTATAAGCAAGGCGCCAACATGTGAAAACATAGTGAAAACACAGATTGACTACTCTACAATACAGCAAGCAGTCAAGATACAGCAGAGGATCACTTAGGTTAGTCACAACAAGGGGAACAGGGCCAGAGCTAAGTGTGGAGAAAAGAAACGCTACACAAAAACAGTCTGATGTGACGATGTGCTCCCTCTGAGGTGTGTCTACTGTATGTTAAAATTTGCCTTCCATCTATACAGACGTGCAAAATATCAAACGCTCGAGAAAAAAACAGACACACAAAACATGCGCACACACATTCAGACACACACACACGATAAGATGTTATGGACTGGCCTCCTGCGAACCTGTCTACTCTCCACCACTAACAGATCTAGTCTAGGGTTTGGTCGGACTCAGTTTAGGTTGTTTGCCTTCATGATGGCGGGCTTTCTGTTGACATATGTGGCCCAGTAGCCTAAGTTGAAGATGAAGAACAGAACAGGGAAAATAATGCGTGATATCTTGTCCACTTTGCTGACACGGTTGTAGGACTTCTTGGCCTCCGTGTAGGGGTCATCCATTCTATGCAGATAGTGGTGTTTGGGGGTTGGCGCGGGGGCACTCTTGGAAATGGTGGTTAGACCCTGGTCTTTAGCCACGTTGATGGCGTACGTGGTTCCGACAATGTTGAAGGTGTTGTTTGCCTTTTTGGACAAAGTCGACGATTCTCTCCTCTGAAAAGAGAGAAGGCAGTAAAAGGTAAAGGTCGTCAGGAGCGAAGCACCAGACTCAACAATACTTCCATTTGAACTCATAAAGAGGAAATAGAAGCAACACCACGAGACACGACACACACAAGAACAAAACAAAAGCCTAACCATATCTTTAATCCTGGCCATGTTAGCCTGAAACGGTTCCTGAAAAGAAAAGTAGAAAAGAAAAAAAGTTTACCAATTATATTAAAATTACCCAACTTACATACTCTACTCATCAGTATCTAGCTGGAAAATGGTTTAACATTTTACACTATTAAGAATGTCAATTTAAATCTGCATCAAACAAATCTGGACTGCAGAAAAAAGGCCATGATAAAAATTCATAATGAACTTATTATCTGGCCTGTAAAATGAAGACTGCAGTAATAGCGACATTGTTATATTTTGCATCATTGCAAAACCAGGCTGGGCTGGCGTCTGATACTGCTAACAGTAGCAGTAGCAGCACAGAGCAGGATTAGAAACAAAGCAAAATAAGAGCGCCTGAAAACATGTCTGACAAACTGTATCAATGAGAGCAGCCAGGCCTCTTCAGGCAAACAGCTTGCGATAAAACAAACACGACAAAGGCTGTGTGTGATAAAAGCTGGCTGCAGAAACTGTCGTCTTCCTAGAGAGAACTCTTTGGACTGTCTTTCATCTTGAAGTAGGATGGGGAGACCAGATTTTATTTGCTAAATTGGATAGCTCAGATGGCTAAACTTGCATCAGCAGAGGATGCTGTCAGCTTAAAAGAGTTCAAGAAGTGAAAACCATAAAAGTGAGAAAACAAGTAGGGCACTGAGATTGATCACCGAGCACAGTTTTAGTTTCCTGTGTGGCATGCAGCGTGTAATAGCGTGTACTGGGGCGATTTTCTTTACACCATTCTTCCCCCACTGTGGCCCCTTTACGATCTAAGAGCAAATGAAAGTGTCTGTGTGTGTCATGTAACAAAGTGTTTCATTTTCAGTGCTCCCTGTTTTCACTTTGCTCTGAGCCCAGCTTTAATTTTTGCTCCACTTTTGCAGCTTCATTTAATTTTCCTTCCTTTTCCTTTGACTTCATCTTTTTAATTAGCATAACTAATGTCCCCTCTTCCCCCTCCTCTGAAATGCTTCACGGTGGATCTCTTCCTGCACACGGCTCATCATCAAATTTTTTGTTTGGGTCTTTTGTTCCCAAAATTCATTTGGAGTCACAAATAAAAGGCAGAAAAACAGCTTTATGTGGGAGAAGACGAGACTTTTTTAAATTTTTTTATGAATGTTAATTTTCTGAACTACAGCACTTTGTCACTTCTGTGCTCATGGCGAAGGGATGTTCCAGCTATTGAAGATGTCTTGTTTATGGCTTAAAAGTAGGGTGAGGTATAAGTGAGTACATCAGCCACTGCACCCATCTGATACCATTACTGATTAGCCAGATCACGTTGTTTCACTAAAAATGAAAAGGCCTACTTCTTTGTTTCTCCAAAACAGTAGCTCACTTGTGCTCTGCTGCCTCCTCGGATGTTTTAAACTTGGTAAACAGACGCACTCAGTGTATGGTGTACTCTTCTGACCAATCAATAGAGCTACCACCCAGAATTACTGCTTTAGAGCATCAAAGAAATACTGCTATGTGGTAAACATCATGTGAAGATGGCATACAGTGTGAAATATAATATCAGTTGGAGACTAAAACTAGACATGCTGTTTTTGTAAAGTGTAAATTTCTTTTCTCTTTTGTGTACTTTAAAAAAATGGATTGGTTGTTTCTTAGCTGAAGGGGCTCCACTCTGAGCTGTGGCTAATGTTAACTTGCTAATATTTGATTTAGATGTTGGGCTTGCTCTTATTCTTAGGTTGGGATTTTCTCGGTCTGCATTGTTTACAGTTGGCAGAAAAAGTTGGCAAAAATGTTCGAATATAACCTGAACCAAACTTTACAAAAATGATAGCAATCACGGTTTTTGTAAGTTTGCAGATACGGGTATTCTAATCATTATTGGAGAAGAAAAACAGTTTTGGATCTTCTCTAACAGGAAGATAACCATTCATATAGTCAAATGTGACTGTAAAATACAATAATACGCAGTGGTTGATAAGCTTCTGTCTTGGTTGATGGAGGCATCAAGACATAGGGAGATAAGCTAACATGAACAGTGTTTCATCCACAAGAGTATCAGAGCTCATCTCTGATACAGAGAGGTTTGTGGAGAGCTCACAAAGCGCTGCAGACAGCTGATTGCATTAAAAGGAGAATGGGTGAGAACCCAATTGGTGAGCTGCTGAAGGCTGTGTGCCTGAGGGGGGGCGGCTCTCTAATGTCTTTTAGTGCAGGGGGAGAAAGAGTCTTACTGCTACCCCCCCGGATAACTAAACTTTCCCCTGATATCGATTCCTCCCCATCTAAAGCCACCAACAGTCTCCTCTATCACAGCAATGGCTTAGATTAGCAGAAAAAGCCAATGACTGCTAAAACATGTCATATGACCTTAATCATAGCCCCCTCAACGCCTCAGTCGATGGCATTAGGGATGTTCTTTGCCCGGAACCCTGACAAACGAGCCACGCAAAGTCATTTTCTGTCACCTTTCAGCCTGACTAGCGTGTGCTGCAATTTCGGTGGTCTACTTGTTTGTGAAACCACATGTGGCATTGGACTGTGTGTGTACGTTTTTTATGAACCTAATGCGGTACAGCACACAACTTGCTTCCAGCCAAAGATTTGTGTGCACTATCCAAAGTCATTTGGCAAACTGCAGGAACAGATAGCCGGCCTGAACGGAGTGCATCTATTGACCTTGCTTTTGTTACTTCGGCAAATTGTTGCATCAGAATTTCTTTACAAGCATGATTAGGTACCCTCGGGGTAATTGTGGCGCGCTGTGTCCTGCTGTTCAGAGCTCAGTGTGTGCATGTGAGCGTGTAACTGAACCTTGTGACAGTCTGTCCCCGTCTTGAGACTAGAGATGAGGTGTCTGCATATTTAGTAGCCTCAAGTGTGTGAGCACGTGGGCGAAGAGTGTGCAGGTCCCTCTTTGTGTCACTGGGCATGTTCTTTTAATTGGCACTTGCACTACCAACTTTTTTTTGTCAATTGGTAATTGGCCTGTGCTTGATCTCACAACTGCAGGCTGTGTTACAGGTCACCGAAATGTAGTGTTAAATACTCTCGTTATCCTGAATCAAAGCAAACAGTAACTCCAAAAATGATTATTTCCTTTTATTTTGTCTTGTGTTTATCTTCGTTTTATTTCAGAGGGGTAGTTAAAAATTAAAAGCCTTTATTTCATCAGGGCTTCAGATGCATAAAAACACGCCAACATGTTTCAGCCATACAGACCTTCATCAGGGCAGGTAGAAAATGAACACCAAGCTACTTCCTTTACAGATTTACAACCACGTCACATGATCAGTAGCAGTCACATGATAAAGCAAACTGGCCACACATCCAAACGAAGAAAGCCAAACATCAAAATGTACACAGGATACCAAGGCAGATGAAAACCACAACAAGAATACATATATGCATGTTGGCATGTTTTTATGAGTCTGAATCCCTGATGAATTAAAGGCTTTTTTTAATTTACTACCCTGATGAGTGCCTCAGAACTCTTCAATAACTTCCAAGATAACATCAGCGCTAGATAGTGTTACATATTTAAATACGAGACTTGTTGGAATGAATACAACTGCTCCAATAATATTAACTAGGAAGGTTGTGAGCCACCCATCCAAAACATGACATTTGAGAAAAATGGCTGCCGTTGAATATGGTGAATCGGCCAAAGGGTTTTGCAAAACTTCCTACAAAAACGAAAAAAAGCAGCAAACAAGTTCCCTCTGAAAGTTGATGTTTGTTATTTAAAGTTCTCCCCTGTTGTTCAGTTAAGTGATAGTGTCATGCTTATGTGACTGAACGATGATGGCTGGCTGTGTCTCCACTGACAAACCACTGTGATCAAATGTCAGAAGTCATGTAGTCTCTTGTGCTCTAGCTTCTTTCAATGCCTGATGAAAGCAGCACATCAAATCTAACACAGTCCAATCACGTGTCATGGAGAGCCTGGAAATAGGAAGGCTTTCATTCAAGCCAAACTCACCACTAGATAATTTCTGCAATAAGCACACCTTCAGCCGGTGAGAGGGGCTCTAATTAGATAGGTCGCTTGTCAAACAGTGTGCTGAGCGACAAAAAGGGAAGAAGATGGCAGAGAAGCTCCATAACCAGCAAGGTAAATTAGTGCACATTGACTCGTCTAGAGCTCTACATTTTAATCCTTAAAAAGAAGCAGCCTGCAGGCAATGAAGTCATCGTTTGAATCCGATAAGAGCGCTTGCTAAAACCCTGCCTCTGATCATGGCTGGGGGACTGTATTTTCAAAAAGGACTTCCTGAACTTCGGCTTCTCTCCTGAAATACATTATTTCCTTAGTGTGCCCTTTTTTTTAATTACATTTCAAATATGTGAAAAAAGAAAAGGGGGGGAAAAAGCATGTGTTGTGTGATCCCTTTGCTTTCCAATAGCTCGTTCTAGCAGGGGAGTGCATTGTCTCCTTCTATGACCCCATTCTTTTTTTATCTATCATGACAACTGCATGCTCAGCACAGCCCCTGAGAACGCAGCCCAGGCTGTTGCCATTAAGAAGAGGCATCAAAAGGAAAAAAGAAAAAGAGGGGAAAAAAACAAAAACCTTTCCACTCCCTCTATGATGCTGCAAATTATCACTGCTGACTGAAAAGTTCTGTGGCAGCAATATGCAATCCTGCCAATCACTCAGAGGCAAAATGTCAAGCTTTAAAAAAAAAATGGAAAGAGTGTACTGATTGTGTCAAACAGCTGGTGCATTAGTGACAGAAAATAGATTTGTGGCGCTGTCTGTGGCGGCATAAGAAATCTGTTTCTCTCTGTGTTAGTTGAATATCTGATAGAAGCAACAGAAAAACAGCTTTTACAATAGTTTCATGATGTTTCTATATTACAAAGATGTTTCACCTCTCCTCCGAAAGGCTTTTGCAGTTCTAACTAAACCACCACTGCACAATGGCATAGGAGCGCCAGCTTTTCAGGAGAGGATACGGCAGTCCATTTACATCTGAAGGACAGAGGGCACTCCTTTGAGGATGACAAAGTGCATACCCTGGTCAGAGAAGACCGTTGGTTTAAAAGTGGTGTTAAAGAAGCCATCTATGTTAAGGCGGAAAAATTATCCCTTAACCGAGGTGGTGGTCTGAGACACCATCTTTCACCAACCTACAATGCTGTTTTGAATTCTCTCCCAAAAACAACGGAAGCCCAAGGCCCCCCCGACATGTCACTCCAACGACCCACAGATGACTGAGCGTAGTAACGACTATAGGTTAAACGCCCTGACACACCAAGGAGATCGTCGGCCGTCGGTCGTAGTTGGTTGTTTTTTTTTTTCCTGTGTGAAAAAAGGCAGACAGGAGCCCTAACCCTAACCCTGCTGTCTGCCTTTTTTTCGGTTGACATGGGCAACATGTCGAATCAGCGTTCTTAGGTCGGCTTGATTGGTGAGAGCAAACACTCCGATTGGCTGTTCAGCTAATCGGATTAGTGCACGAGAAGAAAAACAGAAGCGACGAAAGCAAGTAAACGACTTCAACTTCTTCTCTGACGTTATTCCCAAAGAAGTAATTATATAACGAGTGGTGAGCGACAGCAGTGTGAAAATGGTCTTCTGTATTATTAAAAACAGCAAAAAAGGAGCTCAAAAGTAAACAATATTCCAGGTGCATGGCTGAAACAAGACTAAAGGAGAGACTAGAAAGTCAGCAGATCAACAATGGATGCTTTTCAGCAAAAGGCCTTCTTCAGCGTTTGGAGAAGGCCTTGTGCTGAAACGCTTTGAAGGACATTTAGTCTGCTGACTTTTTAACAACGGTTTATGTTTCTGTATTCTTCTCCGTCCTCGTCCTCTTCCGGTTTCCCCTTTTTGGAATGACCGTCGCCTGCTGGCATGGAGAGTTATTTCCTCACACATGGGCAAGAACGCATGTGGTGGTTGGCCGTGGCTGTAGTCATTGTGGTGCGTTCAAGTTGCCAAGACAAAAGGCATCGGCCTTCATCACCACTAGTTCTTTGCCGTCTGCTTGTTGTGTCAGGGCCTTAACAACTCAGCTAACGACTCTGATGGGTGTTATCCTTGATAATTAGCATGCTAATGAATGCACAGTGGCTTAAATTTCTAGCTCTGTCCATTAGATAGTTTGGAACTTAAGAAGCCTTTCAGTGGAGAGATGACACGTCTTCAAGATCTTCAACCAGTCCCGTTGCCTTTGGAACAAGCTTTTTATTTATCATGACCTGAATGACTGACATCCTACACATACAACCATAACCAAACCTAGGAGACCACATCTGCTTTTCTAAGTTGTTGTTGTCGACTAAAAAAAAAAAAAAAAAATCTCAGGAAAAGACCAATCATTCTTAATTAGCTGTACAATTATAGGGCTTTCACACTTGCAGAAAACTCCTGAAAAACTCTTGATATTTCCAGGAGGAGCTGTGTGTTTGAACGCAAACAGCTGAATTTTTCGCACTGATTTCACACGGAGTTTCTCCTGCCAGACCCCTAGTATTTTTTTACTGCATCAAGTCTGAGGGAGCTGATGTGAGACTGCAGCAGGATATTATCAGGAGAATTCACCTCGAGCCAATGGGAAGTGGGAGTGACGTTTATATACAGTGACTGCTGCACAGCTCATAGTGTATGCACGCGACCGCAAGGTCTCCCTGCATGTAATTGAACAGCTGCATTAAGTTTTTCTGTTCGTCAGTATGTTGTTCTCTGCTCTTTTGTTGATGTGTGTGTGCGTGTGTGTGTGTGTGTGATTCTGTTGAACTACTACACGTAGCATTGATATAAAGACAAATATTCTCATTATAGCATCATATAGAGGACTCTGTTGCTTCATCTGCTACTTTTCGTGTCGTTTTTTCTATGACACGTCTTACCTCAGGAGACCCCCCGCCCCCCTCCTGTCTGACACGGATAGACTCCCGCTGTGAGGTGCATATGTGGACAGCCAGGTCAGGAGAATATCCGGAGCAGTCCTCATCCTGAAATTATCGAGATATTTTCAGGAGTGCATATGTGAAAACGGCTTTAGTGATTTGCCTCGGCCTTCTTGTGTTCATAGTTTTGACAAACATTTGTTTTAACAGTGGCTTCCTGAGTGTTCCTGGTATCTATGACATCATCCATTGCAAATGTTTGACATTGATCAACCACGAAGCCCTATAACATCCTAACATGATTTTAAAGTCCTCCTTCACACACCCCTGATAATGCCCACTTATTGTTCCTGTTTTTTTCCCCTCAGCTTAGCGCTACACTTCCTTTCAGGCTTCAGCTTTTATCTGATTTATTTCTTAACGCCTTGTATTGTCTTCTGCAATTAATGCATTGAAATTTCATATAATCAGTGAAAATTTGAGTGTGTTCTGCTTGAATTCAGTAATAAATTTTGCAGCGTACCACCAGCAGGTTGTAGCTTTTAGCTAACTGTCCTGGTCTCCATTGGGGCAGAGCTTTGGAAAAGCCAACAGATCAGAATCTGCTCTTTCTGCTTCCACCCTCTATGCCGACCAAATTTCTTGGCTTCTCATGGTTAAGATTTTTGTTTTTGGTTATTGTTAAGACTCTGCTTGACAAATTTACAGCATGTCGCTCCTGCATGTTCTGTGCGTGCAATAAAGCAGCTAGAATAAATAAGCCCCGCCCCCACCTATACATTGTCATAAATCCCCTTCATGTACAGATATCATCACGCAACCCTTAGAGGCCTCTTTCACTGGTTTGTTATTTGAATTTAGTCTACAGCTAAAGACTGAAGAGAGCAAAGTTTTGCTTTTATTTAAGCTGCTGACATCTAAAATGTAAACATATGGTGGTGTTTGCCAGCTCTCTTGCTGCCAGTAATCAGTCTGACTTTGTAAACTCCACATGTGGTTCTGCAAATTGTACACAAAATCAAATCTGATGCTATTCTTTGACACCTTACGACACTATGGTGGAATCTGTGGAGATAATTGAACTCAAAAACCATCTGGGCACACCACTCAATTATTCATGGAATGTAAATCTGTATTTTGACAGTTGGTAAACATATTTTATAGTCTGCTTCTCATCGCTGTCAATCAAACAGCGGGTTATCAACACCTGAAATTGTCAGTCTTATTATCAGTAACTGGAATAAATGAGGCCTCTTTGGAGTAAAGTCAGAATGAATTCAGCTTATTTCATACATTCAGTGATTACATTTTCCTCATTGCTTCTCTATGCCAGCTCTGATACCATATCATGCCTCTAATATGCTTAATTTATTCGGAAAGCTTTAAAACATCATAGAAATCATGATAAATTTAAGTGCCGAGGTTATCATGAGAACCTTATCCGTTATTATTTATGTGACTTCATCAAAACTTTCGAGAAAAGTATCTTCTTAAGCGTCCTCCAAATAAAAGTACAGTTCTTAAAATGACTCGGCCATGAAAAACGACTTTGTTCTTAGATTACTAAAATAGATAAGGACATGAATAAATGTCTTGCATGCTTATAATCACACGCAAATTAAAATGCTTATAAGCATACAAAATTGAAATATGTAAGCTATGATATATTGGATTAAATGCTCAAAATAGGCATTTTGGCGTCAGGTGATTTATTTTAAATAATGCACACTCAGGTTTTAATCAGTGTGTGTATAGCTTGGATGTGGGGACGCCATCTTTTCTGGAGAAAAAGAGCCTACAGTGACTTTAGGGTGAGACTTGAACATATGCTGCCGTCATAAATCAGGGCCAGTGTCTCTGGGAGTTTACCTCAGCTTCTGCTCTCACTGCTCCGCCCCTCTGTCCCTGTTCCATTTGGCTGTTAATGAATAAGTAAAGTCCCTCTTTACAGTCTTTATAGAGTACTCCGGGCTACTTAAAGGAGGGAACTTTCTATCAGTGTTTCCAAAGTGCAGTTTGCCCTCATCGCTACTCTGGTGTAAAGTGAGGACCCACTGAGCAGCGTTTTAACATGGTTATCCAATCAAAAGGAAAAGAAGGATTTATCTGGCACTTAATCAGCAGAAAAGGAGGACAGAAGCTCCTTTCTGTTTTATTAGGATTATTTTTTTTATGGTTGTTAAATGTGGTGCAGCACAAAATGCAAGAATCACTCACCCTTATTTCCATGCCCTCTTTTTTGCCGTCCCATGCCCAGCTGCGCTTGGTGAAGTAGTTGACTGTGGCAAACTCAATCAGGGCAGAGAAGACAAAGGCATAGCACACAGCCATGAACCAGTCCATGGCCGTGGCATAGGCCACCTTAGGAAGGGAGTTTCTAGCACTGATGCTCAGGGTGGTCATGGTTAGGACAGTGGTGACCCCTGAGGATGAGAGCAAATGTTAGTACAAAGAGCAATAGTTAAAGGGAAATTCAGTTTTTTACAACATCGGTCAAATAGAGATTTAGGATCCAAGGAATCTGTGTGCAGCCTTGAAAAGTTTAGAAATTTGGCTTGACATATAAAATGAATATAGGAATTATAACAAAGTTGATAATGTTAATAAATGTGAATTACTATTAGAAAACTTGCTCTTTATGCGTTTTAGACAATTTCTTACTACTATGGATGCAAGCTAGATTATGGTGTCTAACTGGCATCACACACTGCAGTGATGCATATGTGAATAGCGTCTTTGAGTATTTAGAGAAGCGCTATATAAATCAAATATATTATTATTATAAATAGAGGCAAATAGATAGTTTACATTTACAAATAATCTAAATGAGTGACATACATTTTATCCTAAATAACATACTGTAGCTGGTGGATAGTTGAGTTTGTTTCCATGGAATTTAAAACAGCATATATACTCTGGCATTGAAATTCAAGCGATTTAGTTTTCCAATTTAGGGCAATCATCAAAACAAATCAAAATTCTTTTTGGTGCTTATTCAGTTCAACTAAAGTTTAAATATATAATTTTAAAAAGAAGATGGTCCACTGTAATGCAGAGCCTGAACTTCATATTCTACTGTTTCAAAACAGAAAGTAGGGATACATAACACTGACAAAGTTCACTGGTGCATAAACTTCTAAAGAACAATAGGTCATGCCTCCAGGTTCAAACATAAGGGAGCTACTTTATTGATGCGATGAACCATTGTTAATAATGTTTTGGGCCTTATTTTGGTTGAAACCATTCTGACACATGGGTTTTATTATGCCAGACTACAGCTCTGCTTTATGGAGTCTCAAGGCCTAGAACTTGTAACTTTATACAATATTAAAAACAACTTCAGTAAGACCCAAGTTGTAAAAAATCAGAATGTCCTTTTTTGCCCCAAACACAAACAGAGACGGACGAGCTGTTGTCTGCGTACATTTAGGCAAAGCCATCTCACTGTGAGATCCCATCCACTAAGATTAATTAATCTGGATATCCCGATCCCTCGGAGTATAAACTTTTGAAACTTTTCACCAATAATTTCACTTCCTCGCCTTCAAATTGAGTGCTGCTGGGAATGAGATGTGGGTCGGACAGTGGTCGCCCATCCAAGCACATAAAAAGCAATCACATCATCTGTTCCAGCCTATCTCCTCTGATGGAAAATAGATACACAGAGGGCTCAGAAAAACGAGTATTGTGTGGCAGAACATAGAGGTCAACTCATTTCAGAATGTCATGGGTGAGAAATTATAGATTGTGACAAAAGATTGATAGGTAACTATTCTATTTCTTTCAGAGACTGATTTGATTTCTTGCGCCGCAGTTTGGAGGACTAGCTAAATTTAACGTGCGCTGTGTTTGATTTAAAAGATTCCACTGAATACTTTCAGGACATAGAAGTGCTTGAAATTTCAATGAGGACTTCATAAAGTAAATAAAGGTATAAATCGGGCATTAAATAAGATATATGATGCTCTTAAACCTCATAACCCCCAAGAAAAGTATTTAATGATGGCTATAAACCCGTCTTAAAAGTCTTGCAGGGAACAGAAAGGATAAATCTATCTAATTTCTGCCAACTGTTACATCATATAAATGCTTGGAACGCGGAAAAGATGCTTATTTGAGCTGATCGATGCGACTGCATGAACAACAAATACGAGATGTGAACACTGCTAGGAGCTGTGTCCTTCACAGTCAGTGTTTCAATCATCACACAGAGAATGACACTGATGACAGCTCCTCTCGTCATGTGAATGAAAAGCTGTCTCAGATTGAATTTATTTGTGACAAATTTTTTTTTTTTTAGATGTTTCTTTTCAAGGAGACTTGCGTTCTGTTATTCAAAGGAATAATCAGGGAAAAGGAAGCTCTCACGGCTCCTCTTCAGCATGAGATCATCGCGCTTGGCATGTTCTTCAGCAGCTATTGTACAACATGTGCTACATTTCATGCAGATCTGTTCACATCAAAATGCAAAATATGCAACACACACACACACAGGTTAAGGAGCGCTTTGATAGCTTATGCAACAACAACAACATTAAGGATGACAGAGGAGGACAAATTAGGTCTTATCTTTGAGTACAGGCTGATCTGAGCAGACACACTGTTCTTGACATGAAGGGTGCTCTGTGGACTAATTGCATCTATTATTAATGGGACATATAAGCAGCTCTCTTGTTTATGAATTAATTTCATTAGCACATTATTTGCACATTTTAATAAATCATACAGAAGCATAAAAAAGGCAAATGAATCAAATCTCTTTTTGGGATAATTTTAGGAAGCTTTGACCCTTTTCCAATCTTCTAACTTACTTGAACATATTTTGTTCCACTTCTGCAGAGTCAATTATAGCTTTCTCTCCCCATGATTTTAAAACCAATGTGTGCTTTTGACTACATTTCTTCGAGCTGAGTGAGTAATGACTTTTCAACTCCGTCTTACTGTGTTTATGTAGTTGACAAAGCAGCTGAACATCGTCTTCAAGAGATGCAACACTCCATCCATCACCTGCCACACATTTTCAATTTCACATTCTCTCTGTGATGAATGGGTGTCTGCAGTTCCAGAGGTGGTGGGAACTATCAATACTGTGATAAAAACTTTGGAAAAATAAACAACACCTCCATGCCTGTGTGCACCTGAATGCACCAAGTGCTATTTGAACATTGTGTTGTTAATTGGAACATTTTTTTTTTTAAGACGTGTTTTTGCAGCATCATTTGATGACTGAAACCAAACACAGATCCAAACATTTCATCTCCTATCTCTTCTGAAGCTCCTCTAAATGATCCAACATGCTCTATTAATCATTGATGGCTTTGTAATGTAAACACAAGATGGCACTCACCAAATACAGTGCGGGCAGGAACAGATTCTCTGTTTAGCCAGAAGGAGACTTGAGACAGAATGACAGTCATGATGCACGGGAGGTAGGTTTGAATCACAAAATAGCCAATTTTCCTTTTCAAATGAAAATATGTTGTCATCACTACATATTCTCCTGAAGCAGAGGAGAGAAACAAAGAAAGAGACGGAGAGAGAGAAACACAGGGTCATAATGAATACAGGTAAGCCCTGTCAGGAGAAACATGAGCTGAAATATTCAGGGTGATATCTGATAAGGTGAGGACATGTACCATCAAAGTGCTTCATAGGATTGTTTTCAGTCCCTTACATGACTCATTAAACCATGTTGTTAAAAGAATCCATGTGCTCTGGAATAATCCACAGAGATGATGTGCACTTTGTGTAATAAAAAGCAAAAACGTTGGAGCTCCAAAGAGAAGAAATAAAAAATGCACACAACAAGAATTGAGTTGGTCTTTTTTGGCTCTCAGGATACAATCATGCTTTTTTAGGAAGGGAGCTAGTCATCATGTCAAAGTGGCAACCATGCTTTTCTTCAAATGCTAGAAATCAGAGAGCATGTTTGAGAGGAGACCTTGACCTAGGATAAAAATGTTTAGAAGGAACCAGAGGGCTAAAAAAAAAGGTTGTAGAAAGTCTCTCCTTTCAAAATATACAAAACAGGATAAACAGGATATTATTAAATATTAAAACATGTCCGGACCTTGAGCCTGAACCAGGCTATGCGACTACGTCTTAAAAATGCATTTAACTTTGGGGGGTGGTTTTACTTCATGAGCTGGTTACCGTGACACTGCTGCCACTCAGGAAAGTCCATCATACCAAAACATCACCTACAGACATTTTCAAAAACGATTACCAAGTTTCTGGTCTGAATCTGGTCTGACACATGGACTATCAGTGGCAGTTTTAGACATGGACATTGTTTCCTAGAAAAAGTGGTTGCATAAGATAAAAAGTGCTGGAAAAAAAGAGATGATTGTCTCATCTGCCATTGTTGTTGACAGAGTAGATACCTTCACTGACCCTTCTCGATTTTGATGGTTCAGTGGTTGGAGAAGTGACACTGACGAGCAGGATTTTGAAACTCGACACGCTGTGAGCGCAGTGTCAGAAATCAGCTAATAGGGCGTTCACATACTCAGGATGCTGAACTGCATTAGTTTTGTATAGAAAATAGGCAATGCTACCTTTGTTAGTGGACATGGGACCTAACGCCTCATTTTGCACTCTGTATGCAGAATGGTACGTTTGCGGTTGATGCTGATATTTAGTTGAAACGCCTTTAATGTCTGATACAAATAAAATGAATATGTAGTCGTGCATCCCCTCTATTAGTCACGGCTGGAAAACTTTGAAAAGTGTGTAGCCTACAGAGGAGAAGTGAACAACTAATGCCCAGCCGCTGTGTTTACCTTTCAAATTCATTCTTACATTTCCTCAAAGCTCTTTCCTGTAGTGTAAAGGATATGTACGTGAGCTATGCTAACTTTATACTGTATGTTTCCTTTAGCTCGGATGATGACAGTGATGTCAGCAAATGGACAAACTCTCAGTTCCCCTAAGCACCAGCTCTCATTGCCATGTCTGTAACCTGTGTCGCAAAGATATGAGAAAAACAGCCTCACATTCCCCGAGGTGTTGCATTTTTCTGAGCAGATTCTAAGCAGAGCTGAACTGTCTCAAATCCTCCCGTTCCCTCGACTCACCGTAGTCCATTAAGTTTAAAGTTTAAAGAAATTAGATTTTCTAACATCCTAGAGCCGAAGCAGTTTATGAAAGAATCTCTCTCTGGTTCTTGTAGCCCGACTTAAGTTAGTGTTTCTCTTCTTAATACTTCTGCAATTCTATCGATTTTTAAAGTTTCACCTCCAAACAAGCACAACAATAAAGATGAGCTCAAGGAAAGTGTCTCTGCAGAGTTACACAAGTGTTCTTATTTCAGCAGCTACCACACTCTCTGCTTCCGAGTAAACATCCCTGGTGTCGTTCAACAAAGCGGTTCAGTCTTCAAACGCACATGAAAATCTGACGGACGTGTGACTCTGACTGTGCAGCTCACCCTCAGAGTGCAGCTTCACAACAGAGGCCAGTTCTCTGAAAATTAGAGGCCAGTGTGGCTCAGTTTTTAAGCCAGTCACTCTCAGTAATTACCTACTGCGCCACTGAAGCAACCTTTTATCTATAGCTCTGCACTAATAATAACTTCAGCCTTCTTCAGTTATCTGAAGCTGGAGATTGATGTTGATGATCTTTATCACAATTATACAGCAACTTATAATTTCTTCTACACGATAACAGCCAATAAACATAGTTAAATCACATAATTTGATCGGAGGTGGTTGAACTCTATTATATATTCTCAGATATTTGCTGTGAATTATTCGTTGTTATAGCTTTTAGCTTTATTTTCCAGCCCTTTATGTTAAGGCGCTACCATAGGCTTTACAGGGGGAATAAAGAACGAGTGATGTGATTGTGTGCGACAGACAAAAGGTTTCTGCAGCAGTTTGAATGAAGAGAGTTTCAGATCAAATAAATACATAATCAACGGCATGAGCTGGCACATTTCCCTTTTAATTTTGTGCTTATTAAAGTCGACTCTAGGCTATAGCCCCAATAAACCCTGAATGGAAAACAAGACTTTCACCTCTGGCACACCTCTCCATATTATCTTTGTAAAATTTGCTGAATGGTTTTCAGAAAAGAGAGAAGTCATCATTTTCTCCTGGGACCCAAATAATGCAAGCTGAATCCAATATGACACAAACTGGAGGAAAGTGCAGACTGTTAGTTTCTAAAAAAAAAAAAATACACAAATATGCCGGTATTTGTAGACAGAAATACAGGAAATACATTCGATTAAATCCTCATTTTATGCAGATAAACTAATAAGAGTTTATGTTTCACAGGTAGGAGTTTCATACCCTGATAATCCAATTTTTCCGCACTGCTTGCATTATCCTCTATCAAAAATAAAATGTGTCGTGTCCACAAGATCTGTCAAAGAGTAGTGAAGTTTCGCTTAGCTGAGCATCCTCGCACCTCAGGCTTACAAACTTAATGTGCTGTGTTGTTTTGTTTATCTTCCTACAAAAAAAACTAAATCTGCTTGAAAGTATTAGATTTACTGCCTTCAGGCCTTGAGGATAGCATACAAGTTACCTGTGCTGGAACTGATGGTTTCTTTGCCAATTACGTGTCCCAGTAGGTCGTACTGGTTGAGCCTGGAGCCATCCTCTGCCACAGCGACGGACCGCTCGTCTCCCTGAGTCCACAGGTAGATCACCTCGTTGTTTGTGTAAGCATCTTGGATTGTTGAGAGATGGTAGAAGGAAAAAAAAAGTAGAAAATTGATTAGAAATGAACATATGATGCACTAGGGGTTTAACATTTATCACGTCTGTCCCCACTGTTGAAGGAATCTTCTGAAGTAGCAAAAAAAAAAGCTGATGTAAAGTTGAACAACCTTACATACAAGATTTTTCCAATGTGGTTTACAGCAGTGATTCACAATTTCCATCCACTTAATTTAAAAAAAACAACTGATGACAATCTTTTGAGTTAACTTTTATTTTACCAGGGATATTCACACTGGGATACAAAATCTCTTTTACAAGGGAGTCCTGTAAAATTGTAGCAGAGTATAATTATATAATACAGATTATCAGTCTGTAGCAGAGCTAGAAGTGTGGCTTTAAAATGGAAATGACAGTTGTTCTAGTTCTGACTTAAATCTGGACCGACTTCCAACTTCCAAAAAGGGATCACATACGTACCCCTGCACTGGTTTCCAGTTCAGTACAGGATTCCTAACAAAATAATCTTGTTTGTGTTTAAAGCTCTTTATGGCCTCTTATCCTCAAACAGTACAGAGAGGCCCTTCAGCTCATCAGATCAAGGACTTGTAACTATCCCACGATCCCTTCTCTGTACTGCACCAAGACTGTGGAACAACCTGCTGTTACATAAAAGAACCACAGATTCTCTTCACTGTTTTAAGAAATACATGAAGACTCACTTTTATTCCCTTTCCGTCTCGCCCCTTGTGATACTTGATTTGCATCTTACCTTGTTTTATGAAAGCCTTTGAGTGCCTGTAAGTGTGTATGTTTAGTTTTCTGTTGCTGCATGATCTCTGATTGAGTTAGTTGAGGCCTCAAGTCTAAACTGGGGCAGGACAGCAGTCTTCAAATCCCTGTTCTGAATGAAATAACAACCGGTGGTGACTTATGACTCCGTGGTGAGAGCTGTCCATGTTCTCTATTAACAGATACTTTGCTGTTTTGGACAATTCTGCCATGCTTCCCTCGTATATCTTCTCCACCCTCGCAGCTGTTATTAGCCGTGATGGAGGCTTGTCTGGACATACAGCTAACCTTCGTCACTCTGGTATCATCACACATCACTAACAAGGTTGGGAAGTTATGTGAAGTGAGACTGCCTGTTGTCTGTCTCTGCTGGCTTCTTCTTGTGCTTTAAGCTCATGTGGTTGATGTGGTTCAACATGGAACTGGTACTTCTATGATATGCAAGTTTAAGGCCACTTACATTGCATCATACGTTATCATCATCTTTTGAAATGTGCTCTCGTCTCGCCAAAGTTGAATTATAGCCTATGTATAACAACCCATGGGTACTTGTTACCGTTATGCAGCACTCACAACACGATTTCAATCACTAAAAACAACAAAGAACTTCACTTCTGCTGTTTGGATATATTAAGGAGAAAATCCATCCCCTTACACCACAGCCAATGTGAAAGCCTACAAAAATACAGACAGCTTCATGTATTTTTGATGTTGCTGGGTCAATAAGTGAATAGCAAGAAATTCATCATCAAAGCTTAGTTGATTGCTAATTAGCTAAAATTAGCTTATAACATTACCTAACATTAGCATCAGGATCACTATCAGTGTTCGGGGGCAGTAATGTTAGTTAATGGCAGTCATATTAAACTCAAGTTTACACTATATTTGATGGCAGGATTAGGAGGAGTTTGTTTTTGTTCCCTAGAGGGAAAGTGCAACAAAAACTTTCATTTTCTTTCATTTAAAAAAATAACTAAAATAAAACTGGTTAAAACATGTAGGAGGCAAATGAAACCAGCATCTTCTCCAGAGCGTGCAGCTGTAAAAAGCCTTCCTACCTGCCAGGTGGGCGTGCTGTCAGTGTGGAACGTCTGGTTCCACTTTAAACATTATCATATCATTAACATATCAAAAACTGACTGCTGCCAGCTCAAATAAGAATTTACAAATCACGTTCAGATGTTTTACAATTGTACTAATCCTGTTCCACTGCCTGATTACGATTTGAAGGCATGTTCAGTGCATTGCAGCATTTGAGTTTGCTTGGAGTGAACTGTGGAGAAACTCTGCCAACAGACTTTAAGTATGTTCAAGATTACATGATGCTGAACCTCAGTAGCTCATATTTTTATTGCAGACATGTTCGCATGTTAGCCTTTAGCCCAAAGCCTCTCAATATTGAAGTTCAGCCTCTTAGAGCTTCATGGCTGTTTACTCTTAGGATGGGTCAGGGGAACTCTCACTTGAGGCCAGTGGCAAGTATTCTTGTAAGTTACAAAAAGAAACCCTTCTCATGACAGTTATTCAACAGGAACAGATCGATATGTTGAGTGCACTTTTGGTCCTCTGAGGTTTTAGTGTGGAGCACATGAAAGGTGCTCAATACCTGCAAAGAACAGTCATCACTGTGTCTGTGTTTTTGTTGTGAACATCTGGACTGACTTACAACTTCCAAATTTCAAAGGACAGGCATGTGCATCCATCGGGAAATCCTCCAGGTGCATAGGACACTCGGCATGAATGGTCAACCTGAGGGGGCAGAGAGAGGGAGGCAGGGAAACACTCAACCAGTCACACGACAGGAACATGACACATGTCAGCAAAAAACAAAACACAGATTGCTTTTTCATGAAACTAATATTCAATGTCAGACATGGCATGAATAGGGAAATGTGAAATGAATTCTGAAATGTTTAGGCTCTCCAGCTAAATCTCTGTACTGCTTTTACATCGTAACTAATATCAAATAACTCGTTCATAAAGCCACAGTGTGACAGCAACAGTTACTCTTTCACGGCTACCAGTGGTAATCATGAGAGTTCAGTTGATTGACAAAAAATCCCCCAAATCTTTCAGAGAGCTCCAGAGTTTAGTTTATTTGGTCAGATGGTCCAGTTGTAAAATGCACAAATAGAGAACTGGTGCACATTATCCCATTCATACACGTCAAATCATCAATGGGATTACATTACTGAGATCAAACAAAACAGCAACTCACCAAACAATCTTACAGTGGACTGAGTTTCTCAGAAATAAACAACAAACTGGATAGCTCAGTTGCAACATTTATATTCAAAGCATCAAATCAAAACTGAGTTGTTGGTGCCGATCGTGATCAGAACAGATGTCTGAGCGAGTAAATGACATTATAATTGCATTTGTGTCATTCTCATTTATAAAACTATCAGCTACAATGAACATATCTTGATCATTTCAGTGGGAATGTACTGTGTGCCTCGGTAGTTACTGTGTGCCTTGGTAGTTTGTACAGGTACATGCAAAAATTAAGCATGTATGGTGGCATCAAGTACATTGTAGATTTTATTTTTTTAATAAGTACATTCAGTTGTCTCCCCATCGTAAACAGAGTTCCATGTTGCAGAATGCTCCACTTATTTAATACAGCTCTCATAAAAAAAAAACCTACAAACATAACAAACCACTTCCTCAGACAAACTTACTGTATCTCATTAGCTGCTGGTGTTGCACTTGCAACAACCCTGTGATCCTTGTTTTTACACCCCCTTGTCTGCTCTCTGGCGCTGCCTCATTACTGGTAAGTGGCTCAGTAACTACGCAAATTAATGCAATACACCATAAATCAAATGTGAGCAATGCGCCGCTGCATATCATACAGCACTTAAACTGGCTACTAATTGACCAAATTCATCTCGGCGCAAAACTGCTCTGACGTTCTGACATAAACAAAACACAAATTAAATAAAAGATTACAGATAACTTAATTAGAATGACATCAACAACAGAACAAGCTTTCTCAGTGCGAAGAAAAGTCTTCATAAAGATCTAAACAAGAAGGGAGTGTCTGCAGGCGTGCTAGTGGCTTGTGGGCCTCCATCTCCACACATCCGTTCTTCTTTAATCTATAAAGGCAAAGCTTAAATGCTCCGTGACATTGCCAGCATTCTCGTGTTTAGCTGATAAAATGTTTACAATCCCCCTACTTCTAGTTTAGTTAATGTTCATCTATCAGCACTAAACACGATGTACAGCTAAGGCTGAGTTGAGTTTGTGTAGTTAAACAGGTATTAAAATCAAACCAAAGTCAAGGACAAATCAATATGTTGACCTGATGATGATGATGCTAAATGAAATGTCACAGGATCTGTATTTTATTACAATCTCACCTGAAGCTTACATAAAGGTCCATTATAATGCATGGCAATTGGTATAAATGTAGTCAAAATGTTGCAGCAAAATGTGATCAAATGATTATTTTTTCAGTGCAAGCTGTAATGTAAGGGTTCACCAAAGTCTGTAAGTTTTGTCCTTTGGTGACCAAAAATAATAGTGTTTATTCTGGAAGACAATATAGTAAGGGCCAAGGCATGATGCTATATTGTGTTAGGTTAGGGACTTATGTTGTATGCTTATTTTCAATCTAAGTTGTGGGACCCTTCAAATTTACTGTATATGGTTTAATTTTTCAAACGAAAAGTTCAGGCCGCACTACAAAATGACAAACTCACTATGTAGCAGACTGTGAATGGGGTAACAAGTGTTTTTTTTTTTTTTTTTTTACAAAACCCTCTAGTCTATCCATCCATCCATCCAGCTATTATCTTTCGCTTATCCAGGGCTGGGTCCCAAATGGCAGCAGGCTATACAATTTGCCCCAGACATCCCTCTTCCCAGCATCGTTTTCCAGCTCCTCCTGGGGGATCCCAAAGCGTCCCCAGGCATGAAGGGATAGATAATCCCTTCAGCGAGCCCTGGGTCTACCCCTGGGTCTCCTCCCAGTTGGACGTGCATGGAAGAACTCCAGAGGGAGGCGGCCAGGAGGCATCCTGATCAGATGCCCAAACCACCTCAGCTGGCTCCTTTTGATACGAAGGAGAAGCGGCTCTACTCTGAGCTCCCATCGAATGTCCAAGCTCGTTGCTTAATCTCTCATCTCATCAGCCACCTTCCGGAGGAAACTAATTTCTGTCGCTTATATCCACGATGTCATTCTTTCGGTCACTACCCACAGCTCATGACCATGACTGGAAAATTGATCTATTACGACAGTTCGACACAGCTCCCGCAATACTGCGGACGGCGCACCAATCTGCCTGTCAATCTCGACGTACATTTTACTCCTCACTCATGAACAAGACCTTGAGGTACTTGAACTCCTTCACTTGAGGCAGAGACTCACTCCCCACCCAGAGAGAGCAGTCCACCATTTTCCATCAGAGAACCACTTTGTACTCTGCTGCAAACCGCCCCAATGCCTGCTGGAGATCCCAGCACGAAGAAGCAAACAGAACAACATCATCTGCAAAGAGCAGAGATGAAACCCTGAGGTCCCCAAACTGGAAAGCCTCCTTCCCCCAGTTGCATTTTGAGATTCTGTCCATGAAAATCTGAAACAAAGGACAGCCCTGGCGTAGGCCAACATGCACAGGGAGCGTGTCTGACTTTGTGCTGAGAATGCGGACATAGCTCTCACTTCCGTCATACAGGGACATGATGGCTCGCAGCAACGGCCCCAGGACCCCATACTCCCGCAGTACCCCCGCAGTACCCCCGCATGACCCCCCGAGGGACATGATCGTAAGCCATCCCAGGTCTACAAAACACACGCAGTCTAGATTAGCATACTCCCATGCCCCCCCCAAGAAGCCCTGCGTGGGACCTTATAGTGACAACATTATCAAATATGACATATATTCAAAATCCAACAATATTTACGAAGTCTATGTTTTAAGACAGCATTTCACAATGGTCTGCAGTTGCACAACAGTGAGTGTTAAGCTGTTATTTGTCAAGTGGAGCATGCTTTTATTGGACTCCCTTTCATCACTTTGAACTTTATATCCCTGTATAGCTGTTTGTTTTTGTTGCTTCATCAACTCTTAAGTTTAATTTGGGGATTGAGAATAAATCAAACCCCCAATAAAAAGCCCTGCATTTGGAGAGTACATTTTCTTACTTTTCTTAAATTAACTCTCCCTATCGGCGAAACAAAATTGCTTTTGGTAAGCCTAAAGAATTTGAGGTAAATTGAGGTGAACTGAGAGAGAGTGATAAATGCTCTTGCAGGAATACAAGACTGAAGCAGCACCGGCACACAATACGAGCTGTCTCATTTAAAAAATAATGACGCAATTCTGCAGAGCCAGGCCCTTCACGGCGTCTGTCAGTTCAGATGCTGCAGACGTGCTGATTAAAGGGATTTAAGCATTTGTTTAGTGGTTTTTAAAAATACATTGATTCGTATTCTAAAGCTTAATGCCTTTGAGGTTTTCTCATGCAAAACTTACTTATCAGTCTTTGCTTTAGAGCCTTGTCTAGTAGTGAAAAATAATCTTGATCTCTGGATCCCTTCAACTAAATAAGCAGTGTTATATTACGAAGGTAGGTTTGTTTTAATGTAAATATTTTGGCAATACTTGAGAAACATTTTTTTTTAACCTTATGATTTCTTAAAGGACCAATATGTAAGATTATCTACTGAATTAAATCATGAATTGACCTTACTATATCATCGTACATTAAGGAACCATGTTATGTTGAAGGGCTAGCTTCTCTGAAAACAATACAGCAGCCAGTATGTCCTCCACCTCCACAATGCCGTTTTTGTGCGGCCCTTGGTTTTCCAGGCAAATGGCAAGCCAAAAGGTGTTGTAGGGAAGAAAGGGGGCAAGCAAAGCTAACTTCAAATGAAACTGATTCTACCCGACTTAAAAAGCCTCGACATTTTCTAATAAGCTCCACGACCAAAAATATACTAAAAACTAGGATAAATATTGGAGATGCTTTTTTTTTAAAAAAGGAGAGGTTAGAAGGCGGAAAGGTTTCAAGACCGATGCAGAGCTGGTAAATACTGAAGCTTCTGTGTCTGCGACCTGGCAACCTGCATATGTCTCGACTCTAGGGAGGAGGGTGCGGTGGGAGACGGCTCTCTCCAGCGTTTTTAGTTTGGACTGTAATAGTGTCAGAATTATTGCTTCTTTAAGCTATATTAAATTACCTCCAGATTAAATAGAATTTATCACAAAGAATAACTTACAGTTTTGAATTCCATTAATAAAGAACATTTTGATTTGTAGATTGAAAGTGAATAGAAATGTACCTTCAAACTAGAGATGTGATGACTGATAAGGGTGTCAAATAAAGATTTTTTACTTTTTCCGACAGACAAAATGTTTCATGCTTCTAACCAAACATTTACTTCTTTCATAAACACGTACTTCATCAAAATTCAGCCGTCTGTCTTGGCCTTGGGAGAACTCTGTGACTGCATAAAATCTACTCCTGTGAGACTACAAATAAAAATCTCTCATTATTTCATCTTCAGCATTGAAAATCAATACTGACCTCGAGGACGAGCATCATAAATGTTTTTCTCTTCTTGACATAGAAGGCTCTGCTGCAAAGATATGGCTAAGGCTGATTGATTGACAGATTCAGTAATTACTTAGATGGGTTGAAATCAGTGAATTATTTTTGCTCCCGTACTGTAGATAATAGTACTAAGAGACTGTCATGGTGTCTGATGCTTTCTTTTTTTCAGGGTGTATTTTAGGAACGACATGAGCACAATAGAAATCTGTGATCAAGAGAAAATTTGGCAAGCCATCTGTGTGTGATCTGACACTTACACAGATTAAATGATCAGAAATGATGCCGGTTAATTTGCTGAAACTCCTCCAAAAAACAATATTTTTAATCCTGACTATTAATCTATCAACACCATGAGTCTGGCATTTTGATTTTAGGAACATGACTGGCCTTGTGTAGGTCAAACTCCCATTACATATGGTTGCATACATTTGTTTCTCTCTTACTCTCATACTGCGATTGATTTCTGACAAGCCTAATACAAGTCCAAGAGAGAGGTTGAAGTTATGAATTAGTTTGCTGATTCAGCTCCACTTTAAAGAACTACTGATAAAAACTCAATGAAGGCGGTCACTTTCAAGAGTCTTTGTTTAAGGCTTACATATGCAGTTTGTTTTAGCACATTTCTATGATATATATATATATATTTTATGCTGTGAAAGCAATCAATAAATCAAATCTAAGAAAAAAAAAGAAAATTCTCATATTTGTGGGTGTGGGAAAACTGGTATATAAAACTCTAATCCTTTGATTTGGTCTGAATGAACCCATCAGCCTATATATTTATTTTCCTGCCTTCATGCAGGCACTCCTTCATACGCTAAAGCTTATTAGGTAATGACACTGGAATGGCAGAAAAAGGAACCCTGCTAGTTAAAAGATAAAAATGCTTGCTGATGCTCTTCTCACAACTTGCTCATGGACTCTTTCTGCACCATATATAAGGTGCACATTCATGCATTTCTTGGGATTGGCGTATGCTGACCATATTTTCAAACCTCCAAATTGTGACACTCTTAATTTTACCTGCACTGGTCACACAAGGTGGTAGGTAAAGGTTTAGTCATGAGTAGTCCGTTTCAGTTGGTTTTCTGCAGCGTTTGCCTCACTGAAGTAGATCGTAAGATAGCTACTTCCAGTCTGTTTGCGCTTGTTTTACTATGGCTTCTAATATTGACATTTCCACAGTGGGCGACTGGAAACAGACACTTGCAGTGTGTGCAAAAGGCAGCATGTTCTTTGGCTGGTACTTTTCCAAGGATAGCTCGCCCACGACCCTGAGATTGACTGACACATGTACAGACAAATCAGTATGAACTTGACTCATGGTACATTGGTGATGTTTTTACTATTGATTTAAACGACAACAGCCTTGGTGAATACATTGATATGTATACTGAATAATCAGTGTTGTAAACTTGGTGGAGTGTTTTGGTTGGTTAAAAACAGGACAGGGACTGTTCAAATCCAGGACATATCAGTGTCTTATAGGTATGGGTTGGGACTCAGGACACAGAGCCTGAATATGGGACCGTCCCGGTAGACTGCCTAGATTGACACCAACATTTGTCCTGCTGGATTCCTTTAAAATGTTGCTTACTCTTTCTATTTTCTTCAAAGATTATGGTCTAGACCTGATCTGTCTGTAAAGGATTTTGAGATAACATTTGTTACGAATTGGTGCTCTACAACTAAAGATTGATTGACTGATATTCTTGAATGAGTAAGTATGCTAAAACAAGTATTCATCTTAAACCTATTGTATCAAAGTACAGGCTGTGTTGACTGGGGAGTCATTGTAATGCTGTCTCACCTCATTGTGTAAAGCAGCGTGCCGTTGTCCACTAGCCGTAGCAGTTTGTTTGGAGTCGTCATATTGTGGGCCACTGACTTCTTCCCATTGTGGAAAAATGTATCAGGAGTCCAGATTTTACTTGCCAGGAGGTTGTTGAGGGGTAAAACCTGCATAGGCCCGTCAAACTTCAGCCTCTCATCCCTCCAGCTTTGGCGGAAGAAGACATCGATGGTGTATTCCTGAAGGGGAAGAGAGAGCACAAGGTTAAAAGTTACAGAGTTGACTTATTGTTTTGTCACATAGATGTACTTCATGTGTTTGTTATATTTAAAGATTTAGATTGTTGGCTCACCAAGACAAGCAAAGGTGTCATTAATAACTCTGATGCATATATTTCATTTAGTTAAGTTGGTTTGTGGCATTGTGCATTCTTGGGCTGTGTAGTAGTAGTAGCTGAATGGCATTGATAGTATTAATAGTATGAAAGTATTTGGACATGGCCTTAGTCACTAATTCAAAGGGACACTTAATGGAATGGAGCCATCGTTAATGATATAATGTTACACCTGTGCTCTTTCTGCTTCACCAAGTCAAAATGTCTGCCATGAAAAAAAGGTAATTACTCTGAAAACTGCTTCTTTGGAAGGTTACATGACAGTGAATATGTACCATGTATATTGACGGATTCACATTTTCAAAAGAGGACATGTGTAAACATAAAAAAGGTACAATAAAGAAGCTACCCTTCAAGATGTGAAGGTTAACAAAATCTAAATCTTTAAAGAGAAAAAACCTGTAAAGACGTCTTTTTGAAAAGTAATGCATAAAAAAAAAAATAACACAACAACATCAACATCACTTTATTGCAGAAACTGTATTAAACAACAATTGGCTTCAGCAGGAAAATAAAGCTAACAAGCCAGCACATGTATCATCTCTTTAACGATGCATTCACACATATATAATTCACATATGTATGAAAGTCTGTATACGACTTATTTTGTTGATCAGTTATTTATGTATTGTATTAGAGTAATGTTTTCTTTCTTAATGCAATTACCACTCTCTCAACATAGTTCTGTTTATCTTTCCAAGAGCTGAACGCTGGACTGAGACACAAATGAGCCTCAGTGAGAAACATTGTAATACATCTGTTTCATGTTTTATTAATAGTCAACAAAGTCTTTCCTTGTTGTCACCAACACATAAAAAGTAAACAAAGTAAAATGAATGCAGGAAGTAGCCGGTCAAAAGAGATTTATTTCTCATTATTCATTCAATAGGACTTGGTGTCCTAGCAACAGACTCCTTCATCAGCTGTGTACAGCTGCTGTGCACACTGACGCAGCCGTCTTACCACAGTGAAATGGAAGTAAGCTTTCTGTATCTCACGCTACAGTACACATTATTGGTGATCAATAACAGCAAGGCGGATGTGTTTCCCTTTAATTCTCTTGTGCCTTTGATGGTTCGGTTAAAGGGCTTGTGTGCCGCTCACCAGTGAACTGTGACTAGCTTAAACTGATCAAGCCATCTCTCTGTGGCTTTAACAACAGGAAGTCATCATTATCAGCTGGAGAGGTGTGCAGCTTCACTGAACACATCAACAGGGCTCCTTTAAACAGCACAGGATGGACCGCTCTTATTGATGCGATTGACCTCCTGGCGGCTTGCATACCTACAGCGCTATAAAAAACATATAACACTTTGTCTGCCCTCACGACAGAGCTCTTAATAAACCCCGCAGAGATTTGCACAGACAGATATAAGCCGATAGAAGAGTGACAAAAACACATCTTTCTCCACAACGTTGCTATTAAATGAGAGATATAATTCAATAGGCTGGAAAAAAGTCAGCACTTGCACCCCCCCAAAAATTACATATTCCTATCTCGATTTTGCATCACTGCCACTGATAATGAGACACAACCAATTAAGTGCCACATTAACGCATATAATGTATTCAAAACCCATAAATCTGACATCTGTTTGTGGAATTCATGCATTGTTTTGCTGGAACAATTTGGTCACATAATTAAATGACATATTCTTTGCCAGAAAATAAAACGAGGAAGGATGAAGTCAAATGACATCCAAACAGACTTTCAGTCTCAGAGCTTCCAAAAACATGTCTGTGAATTTTCGTGATTAAAAATCCACTCTGATCCTGAATTCTATCATGTCTAAAAACCCCTCTATTTCAGCCCTGCTCAGAAAAGCCTGTTTTGGTTTCTATAGCTTTAAATGTAAATGAGCTATGTAAAACCTTGCCCCACCTGGAAGGGCTTGAGGTGGCTAAGGCCTGATGGCACCATGCCCATTTGGTTATAGTGAGAAGGTGTATTAGAACAGCATCTAGCTGTGGGAGTGTCAACATCCTGGGGGAGGGGTTACTGCCCTTTGTGATGTCATGAAGGGAAATAAGAGGATGGTCTTTTCTAATAATTGGGGGGTTTGTAGACAAGAAAATGTGTGGGAGAAGCTTGTTTTTTTTCTGGTTGATCGTAGTCTACCTGTCTCTTATTTCAAGAAATATAAAAAACAACAATAGTCTAGATCATGTTTTTACCAAGCAAGCAGGTATAGACTCTGAGGCCAAAAGAGCAGACGCTCAAACTGTTAATGTCACTGTATCTATAATTTCTACTTATCTATTTAAAACAGAGTAATCAAGAAACAAATCATCTCTTCAGCAAATATTACCACGTTAAGTTTGGCCATGATAAAGATAACAGTACAGAAAGCAAAGGAATCTCCAGGTTACAAGAAAGACTGAAGAACACAGATAGATAAAGAAAGACATACACTAAATGGTTTTATTATTCTGTGTCCTGTGTATCTTTGTCTAAAACCTTCTAGCTCACACTATAAGACATATATAACATATATTTTGTTTTTATCCTGGCACAGAAAGACCCAAGACCCTTTAAATATTCTGTACCACATTCACCCTCATGTTAGGCACTTCATTCTACTTGACTTTCCTTTATTAAACCCAAGAAAAATGCCAAGTCTCATCCCCGCCGATGCTAAACATCCAGTGATGAATAAACAGACAAACGTTCTTGGCCCGGCGGGAAAAATTCATCATTTGTTTTTTCTTTTTTTGGACAGAAATCTGCTGTAAACAGAGGGTATTAATTTGGAGATTGAAAGACAGAAATGAGGAGAGGCGTAGTCAATCCCCACTCAAGGCCAAATGGTACAATCAGTTCAAATGCCAGCTGGTGTTCCTCCAGGGACGGACTGATTGATTTCTCCTTGACAGAGGAGACAGAGCGAAGCTTCTACACAACACTACTTTTCAAATGTCTTTTTTATAGCAGTGAACACCATGAATAGATTAACTGTAGCAAACAACTGTAATTTAAATGACACTTTAAAACACATTCACGACACCCGGATGACAGTGTTACAAAAAGAGTCATGAATACACAATGACTCTTCTCAAGTGCGGTACACATTCCTTTTTTTTAATCCTTTTTATACCTGAACACATATTGTTAAAGCACAATAATAACTCTGCGTACATGCGGGACCAGAAGAGGGAATGACTTGCCACAAGGACACCAGACAGATTGAACAGGGCTCAGTGGCCGTAGAGTGGTCGCCACACAACCGGAAGGTCGAGGGATCGATTCCCAGCATGGGCCGACGTGTCCTTGGGCAAGACACTTAACCCGCTGCTTTGTTAGCAGTGTATGAATGGGATTAATTACTTCTGATGGATGATACTACATAAAGACCACTACATGACAGTGTGTCAATGGGTCCAATCCATTTACCATTTAACAACACCTATTAACACCAAGAAACCTCCAGATCTCCAGATTCTACAACTATAAACATTCACATGTTTTAAAACTCTATAAATCTCATTATATAATCCAAGACATTAAACATTTATATTGCCACAAATAACTGTTGAATGAATTTTGATCACTGCTACTAAATGAGAGCTGAACGTTACTTCTAAGAATGACCAGCTTTGCACCTTAAAGCAAACAAGAAGATTTTCCATTGATGTAAAACAGCCAGGATTTATAATTAATTGTTAATCTAAAAGTTTTTGTAGGAGCAGCTTTTAAACACAAACTGTACAGTGAAAGGCATCAATTATTATGATAATCACACAGAGAGATTCACAGGACACTACTGTTATCCTTGATTCTGTTAAGCATTTTAAAGGCCCTGATCTGAGTGTGCTTGACCACAAAGTCTGGTTCATTTGATCAGCGTGAACATAAACGTACCGTTCTCATACTGTACTCGGGTACTATGCTATGAAGGTAGATATGTTGCAAAATGTGAGAGCTTGTAGAATGTGATGTGAGAACTCGTTTTCACTTTGACTCCAAAAGGGTTAAACAAAGAGTTTGATTGGAGGCCGTTTGATTGTGTAGAGAAGCTTCTTCTGCATCACTCTAACCTGGTCCTTATGTGTAAAATAAATATGTGTCAAGAGCCTTTTAGAATGTGTTACTGCTCTGGTGTCGACATTGTTCTCCCAGTTGATGGTTTTATATTCTATCTCTGTGTATGTCTGACTTAGCTGTGGGATTGATGTTTAGCATGCTTGTCTGGACTTGTGAGTGACATATTACTGTGATATTTTCACTATAAGTTTTATTTATTTTATTTTTTTATTATCACTACTGTCATACATATGTGCCTTTTATAATATCTATTTCTCCTTGTATTACATGTGACGGTTTCCCCTGATGTTTCAGCTTCAGGTGTTCAAGTAATGCTCCAGGTACTGCAGGTTTTTACCTGCTGGATGTCTGTTTCTTTTTAGTCTACTGTTCAGCTCTATTTTATTGTAATGTTTCTGGCATATGTCTTTTATTAGATTGCTCTAATAGTTCTATATTTGTATATTCTTACTATGTATCACAGGACCTGTCAGGTGATCCCCGGGGTTGGTTAAACATATGGAGGTGTGTCTCCTCATGTCTGATGAAGGAGTAGGTTTCCAAACATTTCTTCATTGAATATGATTTGGAGCAGCTTCTGGTGTGTGGGCTCACTCTTCTGTTGGATTTAGCATTCCCATCCAGCACCAAGTACTTAAGGATTAAGTACACAACTAAACTACACATACATATTCCAGTATGACTTAGACTGGATAAATTGAGTTTATGTTGTTTATATCTCTTTGTGATATTCCCAAGTAGATAAGATTAACTTTATTGTCCCAGTGGGAAATGTGCCTTGACTTCACAATGCTCTGATGCAG